GAAGAGTTGTTTTAGTTTAGGGAAGCCTTATCATCCAACACAATCACTGAAATGTGCAAAGATGGTGCGAGGATTTTATGCTTCCAATAAATCAAATTTCTTCCATGTTTTATAAAAGCATGTCTATTTGCAGTTCTAAAAGTGTCCACTTGAGGCTGGCTGCAGAAGCCACAGAGGTCACATACAAACCCCGAATTAAAATGCTTATTTTTACAGCCTGGTTAAAAAAAAAGATTTTGTCTGATTAGTTCATGTTTTTATTGGCACACACTCTACAGGGAGAGCTTTTTTATATAACACATCTGATTTGATTGTATGAAAAATAAGAGTTATGTATAATAAGTGATGTGACTGATACGACTGCAAGCGAGAATCATGGCTGCATCAGCTCTGTCTCTGTGCCTTGTGAGCATTGTATAGCATTTAGCGGCTAACAAGTTTGACGCAGGAAATGGTGGAGACCAAACCAAAGCTTAAAAGAGTTCATATTTTCAAGTATGTTCCTGGAGTGGATAGATATACAACTTAATACATTGCTAACATGTTGGATCATTATGTCCTACTGGGGAGGCCATCATTCTTTTTAACTGTAATTAATGTTGTAAAATACAAGAAGTGACGCTTTCTGCATAAGAAAACATCAGCCGCTCATCTGATGAGTAATTATTCCTGACCTTCATAATCTGACCCTGCCGTTGTCGCTGACACGGGTAAGAGGAGCACTTTGACATTTGCTGCTCTTTGTCAATAGGTCATGATGAAAGCACAGCTGCACAAAGGCCGGGTAGCATGGACACTTATTGATCCGGCTGTCTAGTGGTTAGCTGTACAGATAGATGATAGGCACAGGAGGAGGAAAAAGACTGAGCTCTTTTCCAGGAAGTAGAACAAAGGCCGCTTTGCGAGGCGATGGTGTGTGTTCATCCATCTCGGGCCGTCCGGGATCAACCCCAGCGTAGATGGCAGAGTAATTCACTTATCCTGCACTGTGGACGGCCATTATCTGTGGGTGGTGTGTTTGTCTGCGGGTGTGTTCTGCCATGATATCATCCTGACACACACTTAAGAATACATCACAGCTGGTTGATATCAGCCGTCTGGCAATAATGGCTAAATTGTTGACCTTCTTAGGTTCTTTGACTGCACATCCTCCAATTCATCAAATTTCAGAGTGAACTTGAAGCAATTGCTGTGCTGTAAATGCTCCACAGTGTAATTTTTTTACAAAAGTGTGTTACATTATTTAGCCTTTACCAAACATTCCCTATGTTTAGCCAACAAATAGAAATATTCCATTAATTCAGTTCCTCTGAAAACTTTGCACACACGTATTTTGTATCTATTCTGTGTGAAAAAAATAAAATCTAGGGCATTATGATCTTGGAAAAACTACGTTTTCCTATAATGCACCTTTGGCATGGAAAATATTCGTAATATAAGTGCTCAAATTGAGTAGTTTAAGAGTATCATAAAGAATGTGGTGACAGAGGCATGTTGTTGTATTTCCTAGGTCATTTAAAAGCCAGTTGTAAATTGTTGTGATTTTCCCATGTTGTGTAATTAAATAGTTTTATGTGTTTTAGGGTTGTATAGGGCTGCAACCTTTTCCAGGTCTCTCTTCTAAAAGAGATTTTTAATGTCAGTGGGACTTTCTGGTCAAAAAGAGACGATGTGTAGATAAACCTGCTGAAATAAAACTAAAGCTTCTTACAACAGAGCTGAGCTAGAGGCAGGAAATCATGAAGAAGAAGTAGATGATGATGAGGAAATGTGTTTCAGGTGTGCAGTAGGTCAGTTCATGTGAAAAGGAGGCAGTACACTGAGGACAACTGCTGGACAGGGAGGGAAATGTTTTTGAGGTGATCAACATGCTAGAAAACATGGCTTTATGTGTCAGTATATAAAAGTAACAGTGGTAGTATCTGTGTTTAGAGAAATATAGAAGATAAATAGATAATATCTCAGACACAAAGATTCATTTCTGCCTGAACAATCACAAAATGACATCGCAGTAAAAAATATAAAATGTTAAGAGTTAAATGCAAATAAACACTGCAGACTAGAGCAATACTTTAAGTACAAATGAATTTAAAACATATGCATCAGTATAAAAGTGCATGTAAATAACACTGGAGTTAGTAGTTTTGTTCTGCATTACTACATCATGATTCAGTGATGCCTGAACAACGTTTTTTAATCGCCTGATAAGTTAGTGAGAATGAGCTTTTACTCTTTGTACTGTTAAATCACTTTAAGTGCCAGATTCTTTTATTTTATAGGAGGTAGGGTGTTAGTTTTTTCAGTTAAAGAGAGGGTAAAGGGTGTTAACATATCACTTTAGAATTGGCAAATTTGATCACACATCTACAGTGTGATAAACTCTGTATGTGAGTGCCTCTTAAACGTGCAGAAAAACTGACAAACGCATACATCTGATCAGTCCTGGGAATGGTGTGAAGTGTGTTTTGACACATTATCTCTGTTCATTTCTTCTCAAAAAAAAATATGACAGCCATTAGTTTGTCTTTGCGGTTCTGCTGTGCATGTTTAACGGCATGCTCAATCATAAAAAGTCTTTAACAGTTACAATAAGTTATACCCCCCCCCTTCTTATAATGGTCATAAAGTCTCTTAGTTGGTCCAAAAAAGGAAAGTAAACTATAAGATATACATCCTGATAATTTTTTTAGGCACTTGACTAGAATCCAAGCAAAAAACAAAAAAGAGAAAAATAAAGATCTTTCAGGGCGCTGGTGGTGCAGTGGTTAGTGCGCACGTCCCATGTACAGAGGCTATAGTCCTCCAAGCAGGTAGCCCAGGTTCGAATCTGTGGCTCCTTTCCCGCATGTCATTCCCCACTCTCTCTCTCTCCCTGATTTCTGACTCTATCCACTGTCCTATCTCTCCAATAAAGGCACAAAAAGCCCAAAAAGAAATCTTTAAAAAAATTACAATTTTTCGGTCTTTATTAAAAAAATAAGATACAAATCCTCCCACATCTTGTTTCATGCAGTAACTACAAGAGTCCAACCAAAAAAATGGAAAAAGGTGAACAAGAAGGCACACCGCTCCTCCACCCTGGTCTCTATTTGTTACTTAGAAACTTTACGTTTCTTATTGTGTTGTAGCAGAAGACGCTTTCATTGAACCTGTAGACAGGTTCTAGGTTTAAACAATGGATGGCCTTGCTCACCTAATTACACAGTCAGTCTAAAACTGTTTTGCACAAAAACATTCACAAAGAGATCCTATTTTGGGAGAGCATCCAGCTCCAGCATCGGCGTTCTGGGCCAAACTCAGTCCACAGAGACTCGCTCGTGAGCAGAGAAATCAGGTAACAGGTAGTAAAGGAAAGAAACATCAACAAGTAAAAGAGTATAAAGGGGAAACTAAACCATGTTTTATGGGCTTTAAAGGAGGAATTAGCAGAGCAGCGCTGCAGTAAAATGTCCTTGAATCTGATTCTTTATTTAGAGGTTGAATAAAATGCCCCTGGAAGGTAAACTGCAGCCCTGTGAAAGGAAATAAAATGTTCCGCTTTTCATTCAGACTTCATTTTTTTGTGTTTTTTCCGTGACACCGCAGGTCACGGTGATCTTTGCGCCCAAGACGAACGTTTTCAATTCCCCTTTTATCTCTTGTTTTCTTCCCTTTGAAAAACTTTTTTTTTCGAAAATGGCTGCTGAATTTCTCCTGGCGCTGACTCCTTGAGTCACCTTCGTGTTATGCCGGTCATCACTGAGCTCCATAGATAAGGGCTAAAAGCTGTTTGTCAGTTGAAAGCTTTTATTTTTTTCGTGCCGCTGGGTTACAGAAATTTTTCAATGTGTCGTTCATGGCAGATCAGAGCGAGCCAGAAACAGGAAAGGTGGTAGAGACGAGGGAGAAAAACTAATTACCAGAGGTAGGTAGGAGCAAATTAGTGATAAGAAGCAAAATAAATTCACATCTGTGGGTTATTAAATGCTATACATGCTTGGTTTGCATTGCATTCTTTGTCATTATTCTCCAACACCTCCTACCTCAGACACACTTGATGATGTTTTTCATTTCAACCCTAATCACACCAGCAGCGCTCTCCTTATACTTCCAGCGCCGCAGCATTTCTTCCGGCTCCTATTTCTGTTTTATCTGCAGCAGGAAATGAGAAATTTGATGTAGCCTTTAGTTTCATACTTCCTCACTGTGTTGAAAATGTAGCTCATGGTGTTTGGCACTGCACGCTATCTTAACTGAAGACGGTTTGCTGGTACAAAAAAAAAACATTAAATTTATATGCGGAGAGAAAAAAGTTGAAGGAGCGTTTGAGATGAACACAAATCTGTGGACTTGCTGTCTTTTCAAGCAAAAGTGTATAGAAAAAAAGTTAGCTAGCAGGTTTAGCTAAAGATGAGAGTACTCAAAGGGGGCACACATTTTCAACGGCTGAATGGATAATATCATTTAAAAACAATTGTTCCATATTCTAACAAATATGAACATTTGTTCCCTTTTTAAAATAACCGTCTCTTGGCCATAGCGTCATTTTTGGAATATGAACAAAAAAGTGATAATGATCTTATATCAGTCAAAAGGAAAATGTAGATGGGCTGTCTTTATCCCCAAGACATCAAACTGCTTCAGAACTACAGTGGAAAGTGAGTTCATGGATTTACTTATGAGGGAAAAAGCTGGTTTGATAATGGATTTGTTTCCTCCATGTTTTAAGATAAACTGTTAAATCTCGACTGGTTCTAGCTTCTTAAATGTAAGGATTTCATTATTTGCCTTCTCAGTAATGATATAAAGAATTTTGCTCTGAGCATGTTAGTTCAACGCAAGTTAGCATTTTGAAAAAGTGGTGACCTTTTTCAACTTCTTTGTTTCACTACTTTTCTGTACAATGATCGATGAACTATTAGTTATGACCCAGAATTGCTCTAAGTTACAGTCCGAGCCTGTCCTTGAGCGACTGCATGCTCAACCCCTCATCTTATGCATCTCTTTTTCTGTCTACACAGGAACTTCTACTACATCACCATGCTACGCGACCCTGTGTCACGCTACCTCAGCGAGTGGAAACACGTGCAGCGTGGGGCCACTTGGAAAACTGCTCTACACATGTGTGACGGCCGGCCGCCCACTCAGGACGAGCTCCCCGCCTGCTACAGCGGCGAAGACTGGACAGGTGTGGCTCTGGCCGACTTCATGAGCTGCCCCTCTAACCTCGCCAACAACAGGCAGGTGCGTATGCTGGCTGACCTCAGCCTGGTGGGCTGCTACAACATGTCCTCTGTCAGCGAGCTGGAGAGAGGCCGTGTGCTGCTAGCTAGTGCCAAAGCCAACTTACGTAACATGGCTTTCTACGGCCTGACGGAGTTCCAGCGGAAGACGCAATACCTGTTTGAGCGGACGTTCGGCCTGCACTTCATCCGGGCCTTCACGCAGATCAACAGCACGCGGGCAGCCAGCGTGGGAATCAGCGAGAAGGTGCGGTGGCGAATCGAGGGGCTTAACGCACTTGATGTGGAGCTATACGAGTACGCAAAGGAGCTGTTCCTGCGGCGCTACCAGTACAACCGTCAAAAGCAGCACCAGGAGGAGCGCCTCAGGAGGTGGCAGGAGAGGCAGCACAGGCAGCGTATGCACAGGACCTATCTTGCTGCACTGTGGAGACTAGGAGGAGGAGGAGGAGGAGGGGAGGAGGCGGAGGAGGAGGTGAAGGTGCAAGAGGAGATAACCACGACAGAGGACTACAGCAGCCAGGTGGTGCGGTGGTGAGGAGAGCACAGGGACCAAAAAACACAAACACACTGAGTGATGGCTGGTTGATTCATCGTGCTTTACTCTCCTCCCTCCATCTCCTGCTGTCTCTGCTGTGAATCTGCCAAAACCTCCTGCCCTCATAGCCTCATAGCGCTTTGTCGGACTGCCGAACGGTGTCTTAATATTTATGATGGATGTATTTGTCATGGCAACATAAAACATTTTGTATTTGTTTTTTTCTTATGGCTATTTTTATGCACTGCAGTTGTGAATTTGTCTTTATTTATTCATTAGCAAGTGCTTTGAATGTTCTCAGAGCGGTGGAAATGTTTCTCAAATTTCGCTAATAATTAATAGAACTGAAAAAATAAGGCGAGTTTTAGTCTATTTTAAAAATGGTGGATGACTTGAAGGGTCCTCTGTGTCATGTTTGTGATCTAGCGCCGTGTTGATCAGTGAAATCTTGTAGTTATTCTGTGGTGTTTGGCTTCATAAGAATATCAAAGCACAAACTTGGCAATAGTCTGCAGTGTTTCTTTTTCTTTCAACTGAATAAGCTGAAACTTACAGAAACAATCAAGGCAATTTCTTGCAGGAAAACGTGTTCAATAAAAATATGCAGCACCCAGTGATGTAAATGTGTCCCTGGTACGCATGTGTACATGAACGTGATCTGCCTTGCTCCTTTTTTTCACAGCATGTTCTCACCATAAAAATCTGAAATCTCCAAGCCGTGTGCCAACTTCTTCCATACATGCACGCACATACAGACACACTGACGCACACTGATGAGGCTTTTCTTTTTTAAAGGGGGAGCTGCGGCCTGAAAGACAGCCTGTCAGAGCAGTTTTCAGCGCTCTTACATCACAGAGAGAGAACATTGGTATTTCCACCATTAGGGCATTGATCACAGGCTCTTCACTTCCAAATTGATCATTTAAAGTTCAATTGACCATGACGCTGGCGCTGCAGAAAATAGAAGAAAGCCAGCGGCTTGCTGAATACTCCCCCCCCCTCCATAATCTGACAAACATACAGTTCTCAGCTCAACTGACGTTCAATTTGCACTCCAGAAAGAAAAACAATCTATTTCAACACCTTTCTGCAGACAGCAGGCCTTTGAGATGTTAGTTGCAGGAGTGATTGCTTTATATTAATATCCTGTGGCTGTAATAAGCACTTCCCGACCACACGGTGCAGACGTTTTGTTCATGAGGAGGAAATGAGAATGAGGAGGAGATCAGTCAGGAGGCAGAAAAGGAAATGTCCACGGACCAAAATAGCCTCTCCATCCTCAGCTGCTGTCTCTATTCTACTTACAAAGCATGTTACAGAGAAAGATTAGACTTATACAAGCCTCTGATAATGACACCATGTACACATGCACAAAGTGAAGTGACAAGATATCTTAAAACATGACATTGACACAGCTTAAAAGCATTTTAAGTTGTGATCCCAGCCATCAAGCATGGCAGCATAATGACAAATTGTATCCAGGATGAAGCAGTTTGCAGACAAATAATGTAAGAGCTTCCTTTATCTACGGAGGATGTTGACAGGTAGGATTTGTTCCGGGAGGTTGGATGAAGATAAATGAACGCTTGGTGCCTCTTTGTTCTCTCAGATTTGTCTTTGTAGTGAAACCTTTTTGTCCATTCATGTTCTGTTATGAAGTAAATGTTCTCTTAGAAAGCACTCACATGCAAACTCTTAAGTTAACTTTGTTGTCAGCTCTCTGTAGCATAGAAAGCAGTGTGTGTGTGTGTAGGCTTAAATAAATAGAGGAATGTGCCGCCTGCCTTGTTAGCTCATGGGTGAGGTGAATGCATCAGCACAAAGAGTGCTTGGATACAACCTGAGAGTCTTTCACAGATCAGTAGCTGCAGGAGGTGTTGTTGGCTGTAAAATCATTTTATAACACCGGTGGGGAGACAAATGCAGCAAAACATGATGATTGATACAGCCTCTTTTTGCTCTCAATTTAGACTGTCAGTGTGCGTTGACCTGGCCCCTCAGTGAGTCTGTGCGCCGAGGCTCAGCAGAAAGGAGACTTCAGTGTTGGAAAAATATGAGTGCGGTGAAAACAACATATAATGCATAAAATCAAACCAGAAATGGCAAATATGTAATATATGTCCTTATGTTGTTCAGCATTTGAATTACAAAATGAAGTGCATTAAAGTAATAAATACAAAAGTACACAGATTAGCTACAACTTCGTTTTTGTGCCTATCTGCTGCAATATTTTAGACGTCTCACAAAGTAGGCTTCAATTAATAAAAGGATAACCAGAGCTGATAGCGAGCTTGAGCTTCATTTAAAAATAATAATAATAATATATTGGTTTTTTTATAGCGCTTTTCTAAAAACTCAAAGACGCTTTGACAAAATATAAAACCATAAAACAAAACAAAAAACGACGAGGACAGTACAATGAAGAAGTAATGTGGGGGGGGGAGTTAGTGGTTGTAGGCAATGTTGAAGAGGTGAGTTTTGAGGGATTTCTTGAAGGAGGTGAGTGTGGGGGAGTCTCTGATGTCTTTTAGAGGTGGGAGCAGCAACAGAGAAAGCATGAAATGTTGTAAAACACATGGTAAGTATTCCCATGTCTCTTTTCTAAAGGTTAATGTAAACATGCTGAAAGACAAACATTTTGTCCTTTAAAATTCCCCTTTATTATTATTTCAGTGACAACCAAGGTTTTTATTGTCAAGTAAAATGAATGAAATAAGAAAAAACTAAAATGTAAAAAAAACTTTGGATAACTGAAAGTACAACAAATTGATAAATAACAAAAACAGTAATGTGTGTTTACAAAAATAACTATAATAAAATTAGAGAGAAAATGCGTCTTTGTGGGTGCGCTGGTGGAACAGTGTATGGAGGCTGTAGTCATCCAAGCAGGCGGCCCAGGTTTGAATCCGACCTGTGGCTCCTTTCCTGCATGTCATTCCCCTCTCTTCCCTGATTTCCGACTCTATCCACTGACTATGTCTCAAATAAAGGCACAAAAAGCCAAAAATTAAAAAGAAAAAAAAAGAAAATGCGTCTTTGTAACAAGCATACACAGAGAAACATGCTGTATGGTTTTTTATACCTGATAGGTTAAGTGACCCTGATGAGTGACACCTGTCTAAACCAGTAAATAAACCGAACCAGCGCACGATAGGTTAAAGTAGTACAGCTTGTAAATGACGGCTTCTACAATAACGTCACAGCTATCATTTCTTCTTTCATGGTTAATGTCGTAGCTGGTAGTTCATTATTTTATTTCAAAATAAAAGAAGGTTCGTATCCAACAGGAAGTAAAGTACCCTTAGCGTAAGACAGTAGAAAACAAAAAATAAAAGCATCACAAAAACGGTTTTGAAATACTCAAAACAACAAATGTGAAAAAATAGCAAAGTGTTATGAGAATATTCCACACTTAAACCTTGTAGTATCATAATAAAATCACATATTTAAAAAGCAGCACAGAAAAGTGACATAGCTTCAAACATTAGTGATATTAGCCGGTCTGTAGGGACTTGGGTTGGGAACTGGAGGTTTGCCAGATCGCCTCCTGAGCACTGCCGAGGTGCCCTTGAGCAAGGCACCAAACCCCCTCCCCACCACCAGCTCAGAAGCGCCCACTGTGGGCAGCTCCGTCACTCTGGCTTCTCTCCATTAGTGCATGTCCACAGGATCCTGTTTGTGTGCATGTGTGTGTGTGTGTATTTCAGCCTGTGTGTGTTCATGATTTACAGAGTGTGAAATCTTAATCTCTTAATCTTAATCTTAATCGTAAAGTATGTGGCAAATTTCTGAAGAAAAACAGAGTTTCTGCATTAATCAGACTTTAACAGGGGGAAAATAGATATCTGACTATCACACTAATGCATTAGAAACCCAACTACACTTATTACAAACATTAAACTCAAACCTTCTATCACTTAAATTATTTGTGTTTACACTATTTGTCAAGTAAAGTAAAAAAAAGTGATTTCTAGACAGGAAAAAAAGATGAGGACAAAGGTCTAACTTAACAAGCACTTACCACTTGATATTTATTAACTTATATTCACACTTCAGTGGTTGGAATTCAGTTTCTGCCTCAGAAAAACTGAAACTACTAATTGCCTTTGGGGAGGTACACGGAAGAAACCGCAGCTATTGTGCAGCTTTCCCGACATTATGTCTGAGAAAGTCTCTAGAGTATGTCAATAAGAGAGAGATGAGTCAGGTGTTGGAAGACAGTCGGTCACACAGCAGGTATGTCATTGTCTGCCTTGTTAATGATGGCCAGATTGATCAATGAACTGGCCTTGGTCAGCCAGCACTTCCAGTAAAAAGTGCTAATAAAGGCCCTTCTGAATTTATCCCCCGATAGAGTGTATAAAGCTAGGTTAAAAAAAGTGTTGAATCCAGCTAGAGGTCTGGAGATAATGTATGCAGCATGCACGATTATGCGTGTGTCATTTCCCGCCTTTCGAGTTTCTATCCTCCATGCACGCAAGATGTGATATGGAAGGAAACACACTACGAACACCACCAGGATCAGCACGGTTACTCGCCTTGCTCGCATTCGACATGGACTGTTTGTGTGGGGCCCTTTCGCCAACTCTTTCACTATACCGATGTAACACATGAATACCACCACTAGTGGGAGTAGAAACCCAATTGCAGTGAGCAACCAGCTATACCACCACAGAGGCCAGGGTATGGCGCTAGCAAAGTCCGCGCAGGTTTCGTTGTGGGATATCATCGTCAGCATAGGTGTGATTTCGGCAGCAGCGAGGATCCACACAATTGAGCATGCAATAATACCCCAAATCTTCTGCTGCACCTGTGCAGCCATCAAAGGTTTGATCACCACGATGTAACGAAAAACTGCAAGACAAGTCAGGAAGAGGATGCTCCCGTACAGGTTTAAATGAAACCCAAAGCGCACTAAGTGGCACATGAAAGCTCCAAGTGTCCATAAATCCCCGTTGCTGTAGTAGAAGATCAGGAATGGCATGCTGAGGACGTAGAGGAGGTCGGTAAACGCTAAGTTTACCATGATGATGCTGCTGCTTTTCCATGGACGCAGCTTTGTCATGTAAATGCCAATGGATGTGATATTTCCCACCAGGCCCACAATGAAGATAATTCCATAGGATACAGGCAGGTAATAGCATTTCAGCAGGTCATCTATGTTGGTGCAGTTGTCTCTGGCCATGATGGAGTTCTGCAGAATTTGAAAAACAAAAAGGAGCCATGTTTTAAGTCTAGCTAGAAATGAAGGCCGTTTTTACACATGCTTGATATCATAAAAATGGGTGAGTTGAAAGAAACCCCCCACGCATACAGTGTGTGCCAATTAAGAAATGAGCTATTCAGACTTAATTTCTTTTAAAACTAGGCTATAAACATGTTTATATCTGCTTTTAAAATGAGCATTTTAGAATGGGTGTGTATGTGAATCAGTAGTTTTTGCAGCTAACCTCAAGTGGACACTTGATGAACTGCAGGTTTTATCACAATTTTATCATGATTATATTCTTTGGATTTGTTTTAAGAATAATTAAATTATGTAGAGAAATTGATTGTGTAGCAATTGAGTTTGAATTTTTAGCTTATTTCTAATAATTGTCATATGCCATCTCTTATGAACACAGGACCGCAAATACATAGTAAGAAGGATTTTTTATTTTTTAAGATTTATTTTGGGCTTTTCGTGCCTTTAATGCAGAGAGAGGACAGTGGATAGAGTCGGAAACCAGGGAGAGAGAGCGGGGAATGACATGTGGAAGTGAACCCGGGCCTACCGCTCGAGATGAGAGTCTCAATACATGGGACGCGCCCAGGATATTGTAGTTTTGAGGCTTCCTGTGACCTTAAGGGAATTCCATGGAAATAGCTTCCTGCTGTGACTCATATGACAGAAGTGACAATATATCAAAACCTTGACGCTGGACACGGCCCCTGAAACAAAAACATTTAGCCGCAAGATGCTGAAAATGATTCAATGAAAAAATGCGTGGAATGGCAGGTTCTAGTGGTCATTTTCTCTGGGTACATTACGTTAGTGTAAAAAGATTGGACAAGTGGAGCCTACTGTTAAATAAGTGTTGAATTTGTGACGGATGTTTTGAGCTGCCTGAACAAACCATCCCTGTCAATTGAAGAGAAAACAAATACAGTATTTTTTTTGTCGATTGAGGGAAAAAATAGGCTACAAGCAAATCATCCTTCCCTTTTCCCTCTGCTTTCATATCAATGTCATTGGCAATTACTGCTTGAGGAGGGATGGAGAGGGCACGGAAGAAAGAGGCAAGCAGACAAGGAAAGAAACAATCAAGCAAACTCAGAAGAAGAAAGAAGCAAACAAAACTCTTCTCTCCTTGTCAACAGTCTGCTTTCTGAAAGCCTTTCAGGATATGACAGCGCCTATGGCATTCTGGCTTGACGGCAGCTTCTTGTAATGCTGTCAGTGCAATCTGCTCTCATTATGGATGTGAGGAGATGTGCGAGTTGTCATTTACACATTGCTTGAACACTCATGAGGCATGAACTTGTACTCATTATAACACTTATTTTTTAGAGTTTTGTGGATGAATGTAAACTGTCCAAAAGCTTATTTTATCCAGCTGAGAGGCTGAGTCATGAAAGGTTTTGTTTTAAAAAATAGTTTTCTACTTACTTTAAGCTACGGTGTCCTCATCAGTGTTCTCTCCAAGCCTTCAGTGTCTCATCTCTGTTTTCACATCAATTCCTCTGTCACTCCTCCTCCTCCTACTCTCTCCCTTTCCCTTCCAGTCTTCTCCACCCAGGGGGAAACTCCAGCATATTTTTGTTTGCAAGTCTGCCATTGTGTGCATTTCCTTCAGCCATGTGTGCTTAGTTCCTGGTGTCATGTTTGAGCTGCTGAAGCTCAAGGTTCAAGTTATTCACACAGGTCACATTTCAGGTGAATTTGTAGAGAATAAAGATAAGATAAGATTATCCAGTACACCTTGTGTTCTGGAAAATAAACTACAGAGGTCTGCTTTATTTCTTCAAAAGGGCTTTTGATGACATCAGAGTGACACAACAGAGCTAATTTTGGCACAGGCACAGACCTCGCTTTGTGATTAAAGTAATCAGGAAGTGAAGAAGAATGTGGGAAATGAACACTGAATAAACAAGGTCAAGTGTAATTATTTTCTAAAACTCCTTCCTATCATGTAATTAAACACCTTCAACGGTGACACAATTTAGAGTCCTACAGCTGCCACAGATTTACATGAGCAAAACGAGACATTTCTAAATCAATAGTTTGAAAGCTGAAAGAGTGAGTGCATGTTGTGCAAAATATATTTGTAAAGTATCGACATTTATGATCGCATTGTGTAAGGCAGCACATCAAGTCCCAAATCAATGATCAAATAGAAGTTTATAGTAAAAAATAATTCAGAACATACAGAGCAACATTTTTGGTATAATGATTTAAAAAAAATGTCTCACCTCCTGAAGTCAATTAATTCCTCTTGTAGCTCTTTTTTTGGTCGCCTCCAACTGTGAGGAATACATCTGGCTCATTAGCTGTGATATCAGTCTGGAATTTCAGAAATGTAACAAATAGCCACAACATCAGAACACCCAGTTATGGGGTTGTTTGTTTCAAAATACAGACAAAACAAGTAAACACTGCCAACGTACTTTAATGAGGATTCTCTCCTCTGGTGGGAACATCAATCCTTGTAGAAGGTAAATGATGCAGTATGAAGGGTTCCATTGGCTTGGCAGTCAGCACTGATGAATGAAGATTCACTTTCAATCAGGTGATGGTGTGCAACCCGATGAAATGCGACGCAATGAAAGGGACACAACATAATGTACAGTAATCCATCGTTATTTAACGCAATGTAACTTAATGTACAGTAACGCAATGTGACGCAATGTAATGTCACAACAATTAAACAAAAACAGTTTAACTCTGCAATATTTTAATGTGGACATATTGAATGAGGGAGGCTAAAGTCCAAAGCTGTACCTTAAATTTTCCAGTCACATTTCTAATGTAGATACCTTTGGACATGTTGACATGTATAAGTACAACACGTGTTTTAAGCTCCTTATACTGAGTTCAAATGTAAAGACCTCACCTTCCATTAACCCAGTTTCACTTCCTTGTTTGCCTGAAAGTACAGAAGAGCTATAAATGTCTATATTTGGTCTCTTGGCTGCCCTTGATGTGTTAACAAAGTCTCTGTTGTGTCACGTTTCAATAAATCAAACGAAATCAAACGCAGCAAAAAGAGGCAGATTTTTTCAAGGTTTATTTTACAAAAGAAGAGCAAGAAACTATGTGAACAGTGTTTTATAGATCAATCTAAATAGTGGCTTCTTTTTATCAATACTGTGGGGATGGTGCAGTCTTTGAAGAGGCAGCAGAACTGAGTGTTTATAGTACAGATAAAATCATCTGAGTTCAGAGAAAAAATTTATGTCAAAGATCAACTCGACACATAGAAATCCGAGCGCAGAGGATGAGACGCCTCGGAGGCAGCTCGCTGGGGGAGAAGGGGGGAGGGGGAGTCAGGAGGTCTTGTTTGAGTGTTTAGAAGTAAAGAAATTTGTTTGTCTACAGTTTGGGCATCCTGGCTGCATTGAGATGAATGGACACACAGGAGGAGCCGGCAGCGTAACGCATCTCCCTCAGCATGCCACTCCACTGCTTCTTATCGTCCTCATACCTAATGAGACCAAAATGAAGGTCAGATCTCAGAACAGAGACGAAGCTAACAACAAAAACATGCAAATTTCTGTGAGAAAACTTACTGCCAGACGTCAGTGACCTCTGTGGGAGCCACCTCCTTATTCTCTGTCTCAACCATAGCGAAGCCGCCCACAGCGTACAGGGAGCCGCCATTGCTCAGTAAGTTGACAGAGCTCCTCTCCTGGGGGAACTCTGTGAAGGGCTCCCACCTGAGGAGGAACAACATTAGGAGAAGTTCAAGTGTAAGATGGAGAGCTTATACTCAAAGACTTCTCTACCTTGGCACATAAGTCCAATTTTAACTTTTTTTTTGTAGGTTTAGTGAACAGTTGTGTTTGTTAAGGCCTGAATAGATAAATATAATGTATTACAGATGCAATGTACTGCACAGGTAATAAACCAACAATATGTGAGTTAGGACAAACTTCTTAAACTTCCCTGCTAAATACAATTTCATCACTTGTGTTTTGTTGCGTTCAATATAGAGTACCTGTTTTTTTTTTTTTTGTGTTTTTCTATTGCATTGTAACATTTCCCCAATGACACCTTTATTTCATGTCACTTTTTTTTTTTTACATTTTGTCGTGCTACATAAGACTGCTCAGCTTCTAACCAATAAAACACTCGCTTACCGTTTATCTTTTTTTTACTTACAGTTTTCAATATTGAACGTGTATGATGTAGTCAAAATACTTCTAAGACCTTAGTGATGTGTCTGTTGTGGTAAATGTACACCCTTTCTCACAGCACTCCTAAACTAAGAAAACAGAAATAATTAGAGTTCCATACTTGTTTGCAGTGAAGTCGTAAGCTTCACATATATTAGTGAGGCCCTCCTCGTTGACCCCACCAGTCACCACGATCTTGTTGTTGTGGACGACGGCTCCGAACATGGCTCTGGGAGTCTTCATGGCCGCCATCTCCCTCCATTCTGACTGCTTGTGGTTGTACACAAACATCTTGTTGAGGGCTTTGCTGTGGGCACAAGGAGGGGTACAATGGTGGGATTATTAGTGGCATTGGGTTCATGCACTGATATTTAAATGATAAGATATCTTTATCTGTATTGTACAACTACAATGAAAAACTGTTGGAGCAAACTACACTAACTTCATTTTCTAGGCAGATATTTTTCTGGGATGTTTAATACTGGATTGACTATATACTGATGGGATTTGGTCATATTGTCATTTATGTAGCGAGGACTAAAATATGCATGTAACAACTGTATTTCATTGTCATATGTCGTATCCTCTTTTTGCACTTGCTTGATTTGCATCCATTTACATGTTGGTGTCATTTCTTCCTCATACTTGGTTTTGCCAAGGACCTGATACAAAGAGATAAAGAATATAGGTATACATATTCTGGGTTTTTTCCTCCCTCTTTTCTTGTTTTATTGAGTTATATATTTGGTCGTCTGTATCTTGCCTTCCCTTACAGGTTTTCTTTGATGCAGACGCTGTTATTTTGCATCGTGCGTCCTTAAATTAGAACACACACTGATATCAGGCACACTCAGATGAAGCCTTTGACACCTTCTGTTTCTCTTCTTTTTCCTAAACAGAGCACCATTTTAAAAGGGAGTGCAGGAGAAGCACACCTGTTTAGGCTCACTGACTGATGTTCAGCTGACAGCTCAGAACACGACCCTGATTGATCAGCCTATTATTAGTGACTCTATTAAATCCTGCAGTTTTTCTGGATCACTGCAAAAACAGTTCAGATAGCACACGGTCAGTGGTTTGTTTTAGGGGCAGAGAAAGTAAGCAGAGTATTTGTTTTCTCTGTGAAATTCAACAAGGGGAGCACAAATCAGATTATTCTCTATTATTGTAACATATTAGCCCTGGACTGAAGCAATGTAATTGTTGTCTATGACGTACTGTGAAGCGCTGCAGACTGACAGAATGATAGACCAGGAGCAGCTGCAGCTCACAGAGTAAGGTCTCACAACACACACACACACACACACACACACACTCTCATTTACTCACTTGTCATCTGTCTTTCCTCCAATGCAGTACACCAGTCCTTTGTGGGAGACAACAGCATGGCCGTGGATCTTCAGAGGAAGCTTTTTGGTCTCACTCCACTTCAGTTTCCTGAAGAATGAATATTAATGTCAAACATTTAAAAATAGTAGAACATTTATTTTTGCTGCTGTTTTCTTTTGGTCAGAATGTGTCATTGTTACATGCGATTTCTCATGTGGACGAGACAAACCAATCTAGATCTGTGATAATGTTTATATCCTGCCTTTAATTAAAAAATATGACTCTCTTATTATCTCAGAAACAACCAGGGCTGATTATGAGGGAGGAATCACATTCAAACTTAATTAAATGTAACTAAACACCACTTTGTTCTGACTGTAAGCAGTGTTCTTACTTAATTAGTTAATTATCACCTGAAAAATGTGTCGAAGGTGAGAGACAGGGTGAGAAGTTAGATAAGAAAGACATTACGTTACGAGAAAGAGGGAGAAGCAATAAAGGAAAAAAAAACACTAACTCGACATCGTAGCACATCACAGTGTCCAGGGATTCGTTTGTCTGGAGGTCTTTTCCTGCCACGGCAAACAGCAGGTTGTTGCTCTCTCCGATATTGAAGAGGCATCTTGGGGAAGGCATGGGCGGCAGGGCGACCCACTCTGATGTCAATGGATCCAACTGTGAATTTAAAAAGTCAGATATAACCTGTTTACTTTCTGTTGCCTAAGACTGATACACCCAAAAATATGACTAATAACGAAAAAAGGCTAGCAAGCAACATAGCTTAGCGTAGCTTAAAGCCCGAAGGCAGGAACTGACATTGTTGAAAGTCAAACTTAGTTCTGCCCAACAACATAACTCAAACTAACAAACTAAAATGGCTATGTCTGTTTTTTAGTTTGTTAGTTTTACATCTTTTTAACCAAAAAGAACAGCAAGCAACAACAGCATGCTTGCTGCTTTCTTCCTCTAGCATTCTTATGCTAAGCTAGACAAGTGTTATCCTGACATTAGCTCTTTATTTACTAGGATATGACAGACCTGTGGAGTTTCTTACTCTCAGCAACACAGTGAATGTCAAATGTGAAAGGGTGTGAGTGGGTGTGGGTGTGGTTATTTTAGATTAGCACACAGACTAGAACAGAAGTTACAGTTAATCTGTAATTATTTTGAAAGTTGAGCAAACACTCTGCATGATAACATAACTAAAGCTAATTAAGATTTTTATATATTCTCTCGTAAAATGAATTACTGAAGAAACAACGTTTGTTCAGCTAAACAGCCGTGCTATGTGTGTTTCGATGCTTGCCATCTCCTGGCTTTGCCTTACATAAGGATTGAATGGCGATACTTTTTTCCTAATGTCATTCTTTGCAAAAAAAATGAATAACAGTGTATCTCCCAGTGAAAGATTCTGTCAATGATTAATCTTGATTTTATAATTAATTGAAGAAAAAACGAGGTTTCAAATGAAAGTAAAACATAATTACCAAGTAGAAGTAACATTGCAGGGGTAGATCTTTGTTTTCCTCGTCTACAAACAGTCCCCCAATGATGTAGAGCTGGTTCTTCTCTGATGCCAGGCTGACGTGGTTACGTGGGATCTGCTCTGCCATGGCTGCCAGGAAGCACTCATTCTCAATGACATCGTACGCCACTGCGGCTGTATCATTGATCATCAGAATGAAGTCCCTTCCGAACATGCCATGTCTGCGGCTGTCATTCAGATATCCAGGGAACAGGCTTTCCTCATCACCTCCTTCCGCATCAGCCCCCTCCTCCCCCTCTTTCTTCTTGGGTGTCTCTGGAAGTTTCCCCTTGTAGGCGTCCCTGATGACTTGGATCATCTTCTGGAGCTCTGGATCGGCCTTGATGAACTCATCCGTCTCCACCTTTTCCTTGAAGTACTTCTCTGGCAGCAGGCGGAAGCGGATGCAGTTGAAAGCATCCTTCAGGACCTTGACGCGCTCCTTGTCATGACGAACCCAGGCCATGACCGACTCAAACACCAATTCCTCCTTCCCCACATTCAGCGAGTCCCCACCAATGACGGCGAACAGTTCATGCGCCGCGAGCTTCAAGAACTCCTCTTCTTTGTAGAGGAGCTCAAAACGGTCTGCGACGAAGTTGCGTGCAGCCACCGCGAGTCTTGGACAGCTGAGAACCAGGCCCATCCTGAAAATGGCCAAGCAGTTGCTTAGGGACAGCTTCTTCTGAAGGTAGTTGACACAAACAGTGAAGACAGAAGGGATCTGGAATCTGTTAGCCACAGCAATAATATCCTGCACATTGTCATCTGTGAGATCAATCTCAGCAGAGTAGAGGTACTGGATGATCATATCCAGGATGGAGGGGTTGACATCCTCCAGAACCACCTCCTTGGTGTTCTCCACCTCTTTCCCATCCTCTGTGAAGAAGATCTCCCTGAAGTAAGGGCTGCAGGCGGCCATGATGAGCCGGTGGCAGGGGAAGCTGCGGTCGCCCACCTTCAGGGTGCAGTCCACAAACTTGTTCTCATTGAGCAGCTCCTTCAGCCCGTCCTGGAGCAGGGTGCTCTGAAACAGGCGCAGCTCCTCCTTGATGGCGTTGGGGTCCATGGCGAGTCAGGAGGGGAAACGTCGGGTGAACAAGGGGGTCTGTGGAAAGAGGAAGGAGTCGGAGGCCACGGGTCCTGTTGGCAGTCGGTCCTGGCTGGAAAAGGCAGGGCACAGAAAGGGCTGCCACTGTGAAGACCCTGCAATGTAACCCCACCTCTCTCTAAATTTAGCTCCCTCTGCCCCCTGCCTGTCTCAGCTCTTGTGGAATCTGACTGGGCCGAATCACAGTGCAGCACAGACCTCGGCTCCTGCAGCAGCTGTCACAGACTGAAAGAAGCAACTGGTTGCTCAGGCTGGGGATATGCCACCACGATGCAGCTCCCAAAGTGTCATGTGGCCGACTAACAGCGGACACAATGCCGTCAAAACCCTTGAATAGCTCGCCCCAAGCTCTACCTATGACTCTATGACTGATATTTAGAGCAATCAGAGTCACATTCAAAAATACATGTATTCTCATGACTTTAGATAGAACATCCATTTATTTATATCTGAAGATATAACACCCCCCTCTCAATATGTTCTAACCTTTCATTCAAACATAAAGGAGGACTTTTACTTGATGTAAACATTTAACCACATTTACATTTTTGGAGCCCACCACTTCCCTTGTGTCCCCCTGACAAATAGAAAACTAAACCAATATTTAGATATATAGTATATCAAACTATACGTCATTTAGCCACCATGACTAAGCTACCAGTTGTTTATCACTAAAGTTTAAAAAAAGAAAAGAAATATTGTCACAAAACAATTTGGTCTTCGAGTTACATTTTTAATGATTCAGTTCTCTGCCAATTACTTTTAAGTGAATAACTAAGAGCCTAAGGACAACTTCCCAAAGCCGACATTTACAAATTTAAAATGAAAGCAGGTAAGAAAGCTTGCATTTGTAATCTATAAATTATATTATTATATCATAATATTATATTACTTATTTATACTGTTTAAAGCTGTGAGGGGCGTTTTTTAAAGTGATTTTTTTGTTTTATTTACCTTCTAATTTACCTTTCTCTGTTTTAATTAAATCATAGGCAATCACGGGCAGATAATTCTACGAGGGAACAGCCAAAGCCAATGCAAAATCTTACATGGAAAAATGATCTTAGTTTAACTGAAGAGCAGAAAAAACCTGATAGTGCTAAAAAAGGGCCTGAAACGTTTGTCTGTAGCAGCTGTGTGTAGAAACAGGTGAGAGCCACACATCCTAACAGCTCTGTCCACCAATCAGCATGGCTCTCCTGTGTCCCTGTGGGGTTCATTATTGTCCAGCTGCTTGGTCGTGTGTGTGTGTGTGTGTGTGTGTGTGTGTGTGTTTGAGTGACAGTGTGTGATTCTGAGGTAGAGTCTTTAAAAGACACTTGTTCTGTTTCATCTGCTCCTGAAGATATATCACCTAAATCAGTTTGCTCACAGGCACAGATTTTAGTACAAAATGTTAAAAGTACAAGTTAAAGAAGTCCACTAATGATGGCTTTTTGCTAAGTCCTACATCTGCGGCCTTTAAAGTGTGAGGAGTCTGTAGAGTTAGGTAACATTTATCCCGTGGGCAGCACTAAAGATAGATCAGACTACACCACTTGTCGAGAAGTGCCTAACATGTAATTTAAGCAGAAGGGGAGAGGAGAGTCTGCATTGGAAATCCCTTCCACTTCCATAACGTCACTGCAGATTAATACACATTTCAAAACGTGTGTGCATACATTTATGTGGAGTATTTAGGGACTGTATGGAAATTAACGAGGGCTGAACTTTGCCTTTATAATAAAAGGTTAACTATATAGGATTTGAGAATATGTACACCCATTTAAAATTGTATTTGTTGCACAAAATATGCCATCGATTATTAACAGTGGAAGTGAAATCAGCATGGCCAAATACCAACACCTTATAATCTAAACATGAATCAAGAACCCCTGTGGCTAAATGAAAATGTTACAATTTGAATGTGCAGGCCATTCTCCTCTGATTGAACGTTAGCACTGAACCACTTCCAAGCTAACATTAGCATTTCATAGTGAATCACTCCTATTAGAATATTTAATATAATTATTACATTTGTTACTACACTAATGTTAAAGATATAAAAATAATTTGCATACAGTCCCTTGTCGTGAATATGAATTCTTGCACATGTTAGGATTAGTGTTGTATTTATTACAAATGTTTGACATCAGGTGTTGAACATGTTATAAACAATACAGAATACTTATTTTACAGTCAGTATGGAGTGGTAACATAAAGACACACCGTTTCCTGAACAATGGAAGCTCTATTCTACTCATACATTGTCTCAGTGACATCAGCTTTTGTTTCCCAGTAGAGGGCAGTGTGTGAATGTGTGTGTGTCCATCAGTGTTATGTTGTTAAATTACTGCTGGAGAAAATGCACAGTTAGTCAAAGTAGACATGAAACAATATAAACACAAAACATCACATTTTCATTCAGAAAAAAACCAAACACATTCAAAGGCACAAAATGAAGTTACAGAGCGTCAGTCATTTAATATAAAAACAAACTAATATGTTATTGATATAAGTGATGAGAGGCTTCATTTCAGCTGGCTCCTGTGATAATGCAGCCCCTCTGCGTCTGATTGATTGATTAGGTTCATGAATGTGAAGTTGACAAGACAGCAGATTTATTGCTGGTCATGTTGAGTAAAGAAAGTGTTTTTCACAATCTGCCGTGCTCACTGTGACTGTGTGTGAAAAAGAGAGTCCCATGGGTGTGGGAGTCGCTGGGGAAACAGACACACACAGTGAGGACGCAGATGAGTATTCCTGAGTATAAGTGATGGAGAATTCGCTTTGATAGATGCTGATATGAAACAACACCACAATGGAGGTATGTATCAAAGCAAGGCATGATTTTAACTGTAACTAGGAGAATCATTTTACCACAAGTGCTACGGGGGGGGGGGTGTAATGCTGATTCTGAAATGTAACAGTGATATTAATCATCAGTGTTTGTGTTTATGCCTGAGAATTATGCAGAGATTTGACATAACCCTGTGAAAAATGGCTGGTATTAGCTGCCCCTCCTTGAAGTATCTACAGCAGATGTAAGGCAGATGCCTTCACTCAGCCTCCTGGGGGGAAAAAGGAAAATAAAGGAGTCCATACATGAAAACATTTGGAATCAATAAAAATGTTATGGCCTCGTTTTTGCTGAGGAAATTGCAAAAGAAATGAAAAAGAAAGTGACAGATTCTCAGGGTGTGAGACATAATGATGGCATTACTGAGTCAGAGATGAATTGTGTGTACCTGTGGATCTGGTGATCACACACGTCCTCTTGCACTCCTCCTCTGTGTCAAAGCGGTTCTTGTTTCCATTGCAGCCTCCATACCAGAACTGGGCACAGGCGTTGGCCTGCTTGTCGTAGTACCAGCGGATGTTGTAGTCCCGACACGTGCCCTGGTCCAGGATTAAGCCACAGCGAGGGTCCAGTGGTACAGTTTCTGCAAAAAAAAGTGGTATGATGGGAAAAATAAGGTCAGATCAGCAAAATGATTCACCTCCTCTCATCCTTTCATGACTGGGCCACCTAATCCCACCTCAGTCGCCTCTTCTGAGGCAACATCTGTTTCTTCTCCCTGCAGATTTTATAAAATCGTCCTCAGTGCATCAAAAATAATTGGCTTTCCTGCTCCTCACCTGCATGACCTCATTACCGAACCTGTCAATCACAGAGCACTTATCATAACCTCTGAGAGAGGCCACCGCTGCATCATGCTCCTCCACTGTAGTCGCTGCAAATAGAGGGACTGATTTTTTTATACAGAGGTTCTGTTCAAGGATAAAAGTGTCTCAGAGAACACATGTACTCTAGACACACTGTCTGGAGCTTCACTGGGGACAAGAGAAGGAGAGACATTTTTTTAAAGAAATGTAGCTACAGGGGTATTAGAAAGTACAATGCCCTGAGAGTGTTGCCTTGTATCTGTCGTGTGAGCTGAGTATTCAACACATTTTTCACTTGCAACATACTACATTACAATATGTTACAATACCATATGATACGTTTAAATATGGTACGATAACAATATGCTACGCTACGTTAAACTTTGATACGATATGATACATGACAATACGCTATACTACATCCAAGCAGCATCCTCCAGTCTTGAGAAATGAAGACAATGTGGAAGTGCAAAATCCTGCAGTTGGTCAGGTGTCCGCTTGAGGCTGGCTCTAGGGACACAGGAAGTCACATACACATGACGGGCAAAAAAGCCGGCTTCTATGGGGCAAGTGAGGAGATCACACAGCAGAGAGGAAATCATCCGTCATTTTTTTTTTTTTGCTTATCTAGAGAAATGTTCCTGAGACAAAATGATGAGTCAGCACGAGTACTGAGCACAGCAGCAACGTTGTTAAACTCTTAAGAAAAATGTCCTTTTATCTAAAATGATCCAGAGGGCACAGAGAGAACAGAGCTCCATGTTTAATAGTTAAAAAAAAAACTAAAGTTATACAGAATTCATGGCAGTAGGTTTCTACTCACAAGGCCGACAGATGCACAACAGATGAGTTCAGATGTCTATTCTTAGACAAGCTGTGAGTTTAATAGAAACCACAGTCAAAGTCTTACTTTGTGAAAACAGCTGCTCATTGTTGTAAGAATGGGAACAGGTTTTTGTTTAACAGCGCCTCAGATGATAAATTCAATGAGGAAGACCACAGAACCTTTTCTTTGATTTTTAGTTGAGCAACATTTTTAACTGCCAGATAAAGAATAAAGTGAAACTACTAGAACAAACTACAGTGTTCTTTTTATCAGTGAGAGCCTATTTACACTTTGAATTATTACTTTATTACATCTTCATCAGCCTATTAAAAATGTTCATCAACTTTTAGGACATTTAGATATAAAAAACATTGTCTACTTGCGGTCTCGGTTGGTGTTGAAGTGATGCAGCTGGTTTTATCACTAAACCACAGGTGTAGTTTAAAATACAGCTTCTGGAGACATGTTTGTTTTACAGCCTTTACCGTAGCTAAGCTAATGAGCTAACGTCACACAATGTTCCAATTTAAGCAAGTGAGTAAATGTATTTGATCATAAAAAAGTCCTCATGTCAAACTTGATATCATGAGTGCTGTTAGAGGTCTGATAAAGAAACAGCAGACATGTGCTAATCGAATATTCAAAACATATAGAAAGGGTGATAGAGAAAATGTATATCTTACACTGATGCATTTAAAGACCCTGGAAGCAGCTTTACTGTTTCTGTTGTTGAAAGAGTTTCCCTGTATTAACCATCATCACAGGTTTTTGAATGACTGCTCTGACTGTTTGACATCTCTTCATTCAGTGGCTTTAAGAGGACATTTTCTACATCTGTAAAATACAAATCTGAAAACAATAAAGCTTCTGGGAGTAACAGCAAGCTTCTGTTGTAGCCAGCGGTCAGTGTTCAAATGACTTCCAGCCAAGACTTCCTTTTCTGTGCACCGCCTGTTCTGAGTCTGATCTGCAGCTTCAGTAGCGGTCATCTGTTTAGAACTGAAAAGAAGCGATATTTGACTCTTTGGATAAATGTAAAAGATCAATGCTGTCACTTCTTGGTCCTTCTGGAGCGCATGTTCATCTGTTTCTGGTGAGTCTTAGTTTAACTGTAAATAATAAGGCCACAGAGGCTACCTCTGGCTTAATTCAGCAGTATGAGCCGGAAAAAGAAACATATTTTCTTTCACTTACAATCAGCATGTCTAAAGCTTGCTGAAATAACAGCACCATGATGCAGATAAGCTAAAAGTAAAAACGGACGTTTTGTCATGTCTGTCCTCAGGAAGAGAAGAGAACTACCATATAAATCTTTCTTTGTTGAATCATGGGGTGGTCACTTGTTTATGCATGTCATGTTGTGATGCTGTTCCAAGTTGAAACTTTTGATCTAGAATTGATTGAGCTCAATTTGCATGCAGATTTCTGTTTATGGAGTTAAATAAATCCTCATCAGATCCCGATTGTTTGAAGCCAGAATGTGGATTGTGTTCCGCCTGCTTTTCCTCTCCATACTTTTTTTTCCTACGTTCAGCAAAGAAAGCTGATATCTGATGGGTCAATATTCCTGGGACTACAAATGTACTTCAAACAGAAACAAGACCTTTCTTCATTTTTATGTAGATTCTGTAAATAGAGATTAGAGAAACACAATAGAAATAGGAGCAGAAGAGTAGAATAAGTCCTTTAAGGAACAATTAGAGTGTGTACCTTTGGGGAGAGCTGGCCTCGATACAGGCACCTTCTGCACAGACACACCCGAGGATGACGTGCTTATATTTGTAGAAGTAGATGTAGATGAAGATGAAGATGAGGATGAGGATGAGGAGGAGCCTCTGGTACTGGAGGAGTCCTGAATGGAAGAAGTGATTTCTGGGTCGTAACGGTTAAAAGTGTCTCCCCGCTCCGTTCCCCAGCTTGTTGTCACACGCCCTCCTCCTCCTCCTCCTCCTCCTCCTCCTCCCTGATTTGGACAAACAAAAGAAATGTGTCACAAATTTATTAGCATATCTAACTAAGTAAGTCTAAATGAGATTGTTCCGTACACTGGCTGTGCTGGAGCCTTTGCTGCCGTGCTGGGTGATTCCACCCGCCCGCCCTGGCTCTGAGTGCTGCCTCCAGTGCTGGTGCCTGTTTGATGGACATTTGTTCCTTGTTGCACGGTCAGAGGCCTGTATCCATAGCCACCGACGGCATAGTTCCCGTTGCCATTGTTGCCGTTGTTCCCATTGTAGCCATTAGTTATCCTGTTGTATATCAGGGCTCCGTTCTCATCCTCGCAGAATTGGCTCACCAGCTTGGATTCCAGAGCTGAGACAGAGAGACAAGAGAGATGTGGGATTGTTCTTTTGCCGCGCTACTGTAGCAACATGACTCTGGGGCTGGCAATGTTGGTCTTTAGGTAAGACGGTCCAACATTTTTGTAGAGTCAAAAATACCTCAACAGCTATTAGGAGGGTGGCCATGCAATGCAGCAGAAAGCAAGTATACTTCCTTATGGAGAGTTAAATGTGAAAATACTAATGCTATCAGGTCTGACAGTAAATATGGAGCCAGCAGGTGATTAGCTGGGCATGGAAACAGCAAATTAGAACATGTTAGAACATCTCGTAGTTACTCCCTCTGCTGCAGTAGTATGACTCTGACCTGGCAGCGTGTTGAAGTCATCGATGAGGAACATGTGCTCGGTGTCGGGGTCGGAGGCGATCAGATTCAGCTCCCTCATGAACTCGGCCTGCGTCGTGTCGGAGGTGTTCACGATCCCCAGAGCGAACATCTCGATGTTTGCAGCATGAGCCTCTCTTACGGCTATATCCAGCTTCACGGGCTCTCGTTTATCCGTTTGTCCGTCTGTGATTACGATGGCCACTTTGCTGACCCCCAGACGAGAGCTGTAAAATGCCTCCTGGGTAGCTTTACGTATCGCCGTACCCGTATACGTGCCTTCTCCCATATACGGTATATTCCTGATGGCCTGCTTTATGTCCTGCTTGGTGACGTAGCGTGCTAAGTTGAACACCAGCTTCACCTCCAGGCTGTACAGCACCAGGCCAATGCGGGTGGCGTTGCGGCCCACGGTGACCCGGTCCACCAGGGCGTTCACAAAGTCCTTGATGATCTCAAAGTTCTCGGGGCCCACGCTCTCGGAGCTGTCGATGACAAACACCAGCTCCATCGGCCTCTCCTTACACTTGATGCCGCATCCTGGAATCAGATCACATCAACACATGAGATCATGGCGGAAGTGGAATCTGATCTGATGGCTTACAGATAAAACCAGACACAGGCTCACATTCAGAGGCTAAAGCGTCTCTTGTAACATTCATACCGCCTGAGAGGTGAAAGAAATACTGCAGAAAATCAGAAGATACTTTACCGCAGATCTCTTTGATCATTCGGATGATATCCTCTCTCTGAAATCAAGACGGCAACACAGAGTTAGCGGATAAATAAACAGCAGCAGAAAAAAAAGGAAGTGGTAGAAGATGTAGGCAGATAATTCAATTAAAGTAGTAGCGTCACTCAAAATATTTAATGACAAGGAAAAGGTCTGCTTTTGAATCAGTTTTTCAAAATAAAATAAAAGTATACACATTTTGATTTCCCTTTATATGTGTGTAGCTGACAATTATATTAAGATGTGTAGTTGAGGTGGTTTTGTTTTTAATGATGTATCACTGTGTTGTGCTTTCTATAGTGTCTGTTAGAAATCATCAAAGTGTCAAATCTGTCTCATTCTGCTGATAGAACTCAAACTTATGTATAGCATTTGATTGATCAATTAATGGACAAAGCACATAACAAATAGAGACTCACTGTGAGGCCTGCTTCACCTTTGACCCCAGGCCGGCCCTTTAAAAATGATAAAACAAAGTTTTAAGGCTGCAGGATGTCCTTTACCACACTTACATTTGCTGAAATGAGAAATAACAAGAAGCAGAGCTTCAGTGTGTAACAATTTCATAGTTAAGAGGAAGGGGGAGCATGTTTTTTTTTGAACGAGGCACTACGGAATAAATAATTATATATAGATAAAAAACGTCTTTAGAGTCACTCACAGGAAGTCCAGATTGACCAGAATCTCCCAACTCTCCTTTGATACCCTTCAGCCCTCTCTCCCCTGCAGAACCACGGTCACCCTGTCACATGTCGCATGGTGAAATGTCAGTTATTTAACAGCATTAATAAATGTTCATATAAAATGTAAATTAAAAAAAAGTGACTCACTTTAGCTCCAGGAAAGCCTTCTCCAGGAAGCCCTCTGGGCCCCGTCACCCCCTGAGCCCCCTGCTCACCCTGAATCACACACAACAGTATAAGATTGTTCTCGTTGGAGATGGAGTTTACACATTGATGTATAGATATAAAAAAGACAACTCATCACAGCCCACCTTTGGTCCCTGAATTCCTTGTCCCTGTGGCCCCTGTGGCCCTGTAGGTCCAGGACGCCCGGGGTTACCCTGCAGTGCAGAAGATCCAGTTAGCATCAATCTGGGATGGACTTTTATCATTCATCTTTTTATGTCACATAAAAATGACACCTGATGTATGATCACTGAATCATACATCAGCCTAGCAGTGGCGGTCGCCATATTTGAAATGCTGTTTCAACCTAACTTTCATCAACTTAGTACAGATCCAGTAGCAGGCAAAGAGCCTGAGCTGAGGCGGACCAGCAGCCTCCTGACAAACAACTACAACGCGCCTGCCTGTCGGTCAGTTCAGCCATGCCCTTTATAATGAATCATAACAGATGAGTTATCAAGAAATGTCAACCACATCCACTGTTTGCAGATGAAGAAGTGGGTAAGTCAGACCAAATGTGTCTTTGAAACAGGCTGCAAACACTTGTTTTGTATGTGTTTGTGTGTGACTTCAACCAGCCTCAAGTGGACACTCAAGGAACTGCAGTTTTTTGTACTTTTGAAATGGCTTTTCTCCTTGATTAAAACAATAAGTTTCTTCATAAATAAACAATTCTTTCTTGTTTTTGACTCACTTAAGAGCATTACATTACTGTATCTCTGGTTACACAGCAGGTCCGTATTTAAGGCAACATAAGGTAAATGACGACATATAACCATATATGAATGTCCTGTGACGTCAAATGTCTTGTATATAACCTGGATACTGAGTCATGAATGTATGTCAGTGTGATCTGCTTTGTCATTCAGTCTCTATTTAACAGCTTTATTGGAGTCCTCATTGAAACACAGCTCTGAAGCCAGCAGTGAGTGTGGATGTGATATCTGAGGGTGGGGGCTGGGTGTTGTTTCAGTCAGGCCTGTCGGGCCAAATGCTCCTCATCAGACACATATGTCTGCAGAGATTCACACTCCAAAGTGTCAGAGTGCCGTGGGGGGAAGTAAGATAAATTCCCTGAACAAATGATCTACCAGTCTTTGAACATAAAGGCACTGTGTTGGGCATGTTAGCACCTAAGAAGAACCAGTATTTTTTTTTTTTTTTTTTAAATGTCTACAACAAAGACGTCATTCTTTACAGAATATGACTCAATCTAAACCATCTGGTTGGATGTCAAATAAAATCACAGAACACTCTCTGCATAAATAAACACAATGTTTGTCCTTGACTTGTGTTTTCAGAAACAGGATACAGTTTCTGTTGTGTTTACGACATAAACATGCAGATGAAAAGTCTAAATACATGAATCGCCATAGAGACCACTCCACTGCTGCTCGGCGGTAAGCTGGTCTGAGGTTGGATGAAGTTATTATTATTTCAAATGAAATCAGAAAGTGAAAGCTGTGAGGTACCAGAGGTCCTTGGAGGCCTTCCCCTGGAGGTCCTGGTAAACCGGGCAGCCCTCTGAAACCGACATCGCCCTGCCAAGAGGAAAAGACAGTGAAGATATATGAACACAAAAACAACACAGCGTTTATGATCCATCAAACAAATTCACCTCTGCACTGAGGAAAAGTGTGTTTCCTTTAATTACTTTCTTTAAAATGTGATTAAAAATCTCCCAGTGTGGAAATGCTTTGACTTATCTTCAGTGCAGATTTGAAAGTTAATCTTACAGTTTTGAAAAATTGCTTTGGCTCGGTTTTCAGAGCGATACTGATCTTTTTAGACTCAAACAGAGAAACCATCTGAATCATACTGATATCCAAATGAGACATTTGGTTCCTTTATTTAATAAACATTCATTATTCAAATGATGCTGCCGACAATTTACTTCCACATCCCATTGACAGACAGAAAGAGATATTGCACTTAACTTTTTTGACAAACATCATATTTTGGTCTTAAAGATCAAAGCTCTCACCTTGGGTCCGGGGATGCCCACTCCTTCAAGGCCGGGTTCTCCTGGAAGTCCAGGCAGACCAGGAGGACCCTAAACACAAACAAAGAGATAAAATACGCTGTTAACACTTTAAAAGGAGTAGTTTGAAACTTTGATAGGAGACAGGTGGAGACAAAAAAAAATGTATAGAGCGCAGAAGGCTTAGCGGTTAGGTCGTGCCTGAGTCCAGTCCGACCTGTGGCTCCTTTCATGTATGTCATTCACCTCTCTCCCTGGTTCTACCTACTCTATACACTGTCCTATCAAAATAAAGGTAAAAAAGGTATATTTCCCAAAATGTCAAATATATGATCACATGAACTCCTACAGGCTTCACATCATCCCGCCTTGTCCCCCTCACCATGGTCTTGATTAAGGGAAACACACTCAGGAGATGTAAAAGCTCTGGACACTGTAACTTATGGTAATAAATGTCTCAATGATGAATATACGTCTGGAACCGATGTGTAGAATAAGGAAGACAAAGGCAGAGAGATAGATCACTGCATGTAATGTGTAGATGAAAGGTGGGCATGCAAGGGTCTAAATCAGTTCATCACCGCGGGGCCGGGATAGCCGTCTCCTTTGGGACCAAATGGACCTGCAGGGCCATATTCTCCACGGTCGCCCTGCAACAGACAAATACTCAGAAGTCAATAATTCATTGATGTAAAGGATACAAAGTGATTCAAGGAGAGATGTTCAAAGCAAACAGAAGAGGAATGTGGTTGTAAATGGACACATGTGCTTTCTGCTCCCTCACAGGCTTCTGTGCTGTACAATACATTAAAACGGGGAGGGGGCTAAACCTCCAAAACATACTGTCTGTATTTTATGAATGGAGTTTCGGAACTAATGTTGAGCAAGGACAAGATTGTGTGCAGATTTGTATTTGTGTTTCTGATGGATATTGGCAAATGATTTTTATCATCTGCGTTTCATTAAATTCATCAGACTGTTGAGCAATGAAAACGTGCTTTCACTTGTTGGTTGAAAATCTGGCATTAAGTGTGTGTCAAAGGGAAGACATCAAAGTCCAAAGTTAAACTAAACAGGAAAAGACACCAGGAGAGGGGTTACACTGAGTTTTACCTTTGGACCAGGAAGTCCGTAGCCAGTCTCCCCAACTGGACCAGGAGGACCGTTCGGACCAATATCACCCTAGAGCACATGTTAGCACAAGTTAGCGCTACAGTTTGATAACACAGCATATATCACACTGACAGTCAGGACAAAGCATGCTAATAACCTGCTATATCATTTAATGTATGTTCTTTAATCCAACAGATTTGGTTAGTTTATATCTGTATTTTTATTTGCGATATTATTTTCATGTATTGAGATTTTCATTTGGACTTAATTGTTACTGCATTTCCAGGAAAGATGCTGCATGAACTCACACTGTAATGAGATTACAAATATGATCCACAGCTGAAGGTCAGACCAGCCAACAGACAGAGCCGTATTAACACACTGGGTGGTCCTTGGGAAAAAAGAGATTGGGGGTCCTTACCTTGGGTCCAGCGACAAAACGTCCAGGTGGTCCAGGTGAACCCCCCCTGCCTTGTGCTCCTGGTTCTCCCTTTTGAAGATGAGTGTAAATGTAAGAAAATAAACAAATATTATAGATCATAAATGATCTTTTCTAATCATTCTCACAATTTATGCCTTCAAAGAATCCTACAAAAGGGGTCTCAATGGAAACTAATCAAACTACTCATTAGCTGATTATGGATTAATGGCTCCTCACCTTTGGTCCTGAAGGTCCAGCAATGCCAGGAGGACCACTCAAGCCCCTTATTCCTCTTTGGCCTTGGTCCCCCTAAAGAGTCATATATGGAATACAGTTATAAATCAGATTTTTAAGACATGGTTTATCATGTCAGTAAAGTCCTTAGACATAAAATCATGCATGAAAGATGTGGCATTTTTTCACCTTTTCACCCTGGGTGCCGATTCCAGCTGCCCCCTCCAGTCCCCTCAGACCAACAGCTCCTGGCTCACCCTAATGGCACACATATACAAGATTTTTAGCTGCTTAATTAAGGTTCAAACACGCAGACGAGGAAACAGTGGGTGGTGAGTTCAACCTTCTGTCCAGGGGCTCCGTCCTCCCCTGGCAGGCCCGGCAAACCGGATATTCCCGTTGATCCGGGCTCACCCTGAGGACAGATTCATAGATCAGTATTAGATCCTGGTTTGTTAATTTCAAATACTGTAAAGATTTCATTTCTTGCTGGTTTTATAACCTTAGCTCCGGAGTCTCCAGCTCCTCTTTCTCCAGGAGCGCCAACCTCACCCGGTAAACCTTGGTCCCCCTGTATGAGACAAGAACAAATTCAAATTTCATTTAAACACATAATAGTATTCTGTAGACATTCAACACTGAAATCCAAAACAATGTGAGTGTTTTAACTAACTTTGGATCCAGGTAAGCCCTCTCCTGGTTGTCCTCTGATCCCTGGTGGCCCCCTTGGTCCTTCCATTCCCTGCAAGATTTTTTTTAGTTATTAATAGATACATTGAGCTGCACCACTTTTGACTTGTTATACGTTTTAAACCTGGGGTTGTAGTGTTTTTGTAAGTTATGCCCTCCTCCCCAATCCAGTTGTCATTGTACAATCCTTAAAACAATGCTACTAACATCAAGTGGAGAGGAGAACAACATGAAAACTGTAATTTTATATCAAGCCACAACCGGTGTCATCTCTTCAAAGTGCTTACCTTCTCGCCCTGTATGCCGACTCCTGTGAGGCCGAGGGGCCCTGGAAGACCCGGAGGGCCAAAATCCCCCTACATGTTCAGATAAGAATAGAGTTTTGTGAAGATAATAGCATGTAAATGTTGCTGGTATCACACAGTGCATTGCATGATTTATAGCATGTGGAAAGCACCCAACTGTAAGGACTCTCTGCCAAGAGGTTCCTCAAGGTAACAGATATATACTTCTATAAGTCTGTTAATGCAGTAAAATCTTCTTTTACACCTTACTTAAGGACATTTTATTTCTGATTCAACATGTTTTTATCTGTCACATGCAACATTGGCATTATAGTATGTATTCTTCTATGTATGATGTTAATGCACAGAAAACCCTGCAGGCCATAGTTTGTCATTACTGTGTGAAAACGTTGCAATTATCTGTGATTAACTTCACCACAGGACTACATTCAAACTGTCAGCACATGCTCATGTAAAAATCTTTATGTTTTAAAGACGCTTTTGATGTGTTCTGTAGGAAACTGCTTTGCTCATTCCTGAAAATGAATGTCATGTTCCAGTGACATAAGATGAAATTATGTAACTTTTAAACAAATCTAAAAATCGTCAAATATTGCCAGATGGCTGCAAAGATCTGCAAACAGATTCTAAAAAGTTTGAGAGAATCCCTTTATGTAACCGAGTGACTGTGTGAGCGCAGAGCGAGCTTTCCCACACTCATCACCCTGAAACTGTGAAGCTGCTCTCCTCCTACACCATCCGAGCTACAGCCTTGATTCATCACCTGTGTGCTGTGACCTCCTATATAACAGCACGCTGAATGCATTCACTGGTGGCTCTGCCAACTCGTGGCCTTCTTAGCCTTAGCAACAGGGCTCTGGCTTTATGTCCGTGCCTCTGTGAAAGCATTTCATCTGGTCGTCTTATTTACTGCCTCTGTGCTGTTACCTTGTCTCCTTTGATTCCAGCGCCGGGCTGTCCTCTCGGCCCCCGTGGTCCATCCAAACCTCGCTCTCCCTGAGAAGACAAAAAAAAATTGTTGCATTTTTGCAATTTGAGATTACAGCCACGGACATCGATGAATGCAACATTATTGGCTGATGGGCCGATGTTTGTTCAACTGGGCAGATTCAGGCCGATACTGATCCTCAACCAGTACATCAGTGTATCCCACATAGCAATAAAACACAAGAGTTATATTTTCTTTTTTAAGAATTTAGATTGGCATTTGAAGATGGAACATTTTAAGGCTTTGTGTCCAACTTGTCGATGTGTGGTTTGTTCAATCTCAGCTGCTGATTGGGTATAATTGGAGATACAGTGGTGGTAGGTGGGGCCCATGCCCTGAGGCATATTTGTATTTGCATATTGAAGGCTTCTGTACACAGTAAGAAGAAGCAGGTGTATTTTCCACTTCACACACCAAGTTAAGGTTATTTGTGAATAAACATATTGGACAGAAAAGTGATTCAGTATTTGTATTTTATGCCTCTTAACACGAATCTGGAGGAAATCGATAAGAAAAGGCAGGAAAGCGAACACAATGAGGGATAAGACTGGTAATCCAAGTTGACAGAATGTAAAAAGAAAAGTGCATCATCATATTTTCTGTGCGACTCTGCAACAGTATTTTTACCCTTGAGAAAACTCCGGTTTCAAAGGTCATCCAGGGTCGACAGAGACACAGTGGCGGACACAGAGGTGCACTGATAAGCATACTAATGCTGTGTTTGCATGTCAGCTTGCAAAACTTCAGATTTGTGGTCCTAACTCTATGATCGCTCATTTTGGCACACAGGCTGAGGTGCTAATGATGTGGAAAAAGGGTAATATAGCTGCTGTGAGCTGCTGTGAATCTGGAGCTTGTCGAGGCACGTCATGTGAAGAACGATTCTTTGGAGCAAGAACGCCATCTGCGAGTCCCTGGCCAATTTGTGCACAGGAGCACCCCGAGGCCAATCTTTCATGTCGGGAGATACACCTTCTCCTGTTTAGGGGTGAATTCAGCTGTTACCATCGCAGAGGAGAGGTGAGCGGGGAGAATCATGATTATTATTTTTACTACGCCTTCTGATGGAACGCATATTTAACGCCTACATTTTTTCTAAGGAAAGAGAAACCTTACAAAGCAACATATTGTCTGAAATGAATTTGAAGTTAAACAATTTCTACAATAACGTTCTTTGAGTTGACACATTAAAAGCTGATATGGTTCAGGGGCAGATTTAATTAACTCAACTCAACATGATCTAAAGGAACTCTGATGGTGGTCCAGGACGTGCCAATTGTAGGGAAATGAGTTTGTGAGCATCTTAAGCACGTTAAAACTCAGCAAAACTTTTTCATACCAATTCAGCTCAAGTTTGAGAAATGAGTCAAAGTTCGAACAACTGCAACCTGTTCAGATTATCATCATCACCATCTGCTCTTGTGACAAATTTTCTCATACCGTGCATAAACATAATTTGTCCTCTTGCCATTATGTGTTTTTTTTGTATATGACATTGATCAGATTTTAGATGTGTTGATGTACAATGGCCCTGACTGATAAAACACAGGGGGATTTATTTATTCATATGTATAAAAGCTCAATGAATTGTAGAACTGTAGAATTGTCATAACTTACTACTTATAATGTTTGCCTCCACACATGAAGCCTGTACATCAACAAGGTTTTGATATTTCACACAGAGACTGTGCAGTGTGATTTGGCACCTGTGTGTACCTGTGTGTCTTTGTGAACACGTGTGTCTCTATGACCTGAGAAGAGACAGACGCAACAGACGACTCATTCCTTCCTTCCTCTCTCTCTCTCTCTCTCTCTCTTCTCTCTCTCTCTCTCTCTCTATGACTCACTCACTCGGCCATGTCTCGAGTAGTCCTGGCTTTTTTCCTGTGTTATCTCCGTCTCTCTTCTGCTCTGCGATGGCATGTTCTTGTGTCCTCAAACAGGGACGATCACTGGACCAGATCATACGATGAGGTCATAAAAATCCACACTGTCCTGCTTTATGTAAATCTATGAGACTTCTGTGTTTTGTTATCAGCTCTCATAACCAAACACGTTGTCAGTTTCCTGTCATTACGCCTGGGGATCTGGAGCCCAGACGGGGCCTGTGCGCAGCTCACTGGGTAGGTGTGTGTATTGAAGATGAATTCATGAAACGGGGTCATGAGGGTTCAAAGCTTTTAACTTTAGTGCATCAGCCTCCCAGGAAAACTGTGAGCCCCAAGAGTCGAGACATAAAAGACACCGACTCACCTTTGGTCCGGGCAGGCCTTCTCCTAATGGTCCTCTCTCTCCTTGGACTCCCTGTGGCCCTTGAGGCCCCTAGATAAAACACAACAATGGAAGTGACCACTGGAGGAACATAAAAACTGACCCCTCTTACATGTGAAAGTGTGCGAAAACCTCTCCACAGAGCTTAGCAACTGTAACCAAAAACAGCAGGTGTGTAAAGCTTTTGGTTTCTCTACATGGGGCTATAGTGAGAGTATTACCCAGTTGTTATTTTTTTCTGTTTTTGTTAACCTTTTAGAACCCAAGAATACAAAGGAAAAAGAGTCCATTAATGCTGCGAAGCCACCACCTGTAGCCTTGGTGTGAGGTGTGAGTGTGCGTTTGTTACTTACCAGAGGTCCAGGCTCGCCAACTCCGGGAGGACCGGGAGGCCCTTGTTGCCCCTGGAAACCGACATCACCCTGCAAAATGTTAGCGAGTGAGAGAAGCACACGGACGGGGTGAGACACAGGTGGATTATTATGTTTTCACGACTTCATTTTCAAAAACAATAGGGCGGCATGCTTTACCTTGGGTCCCGGAAGGCCGATCCCTGTTTCCCCTTGGATTCCAGGTGGCCCAGAATTTCCCCTTTCCCCCTATAAACAGAGAGGTAGTGACAGACAAGTACAAACACACACACAGATGCATAAACAAAAGGTGTGATTGTCACTTATCTGTGTCTAAGTCCTTATTTTGACATAATCAGTACAGCTGGATTTTTGATTACAAAATATATTCTTGGCATTTTGTACCATCCAATTTCTCCAACTCTGAACTTACCCACACTGCTTTTCCTTCCTCTAATATTTATCTATTTTAAAAGGGGGGTTTAGACATGTACTTAGGTGTTCTTTCATTCCTTTAGCCAAGACTTTATTGGTAAAGAATGCAATTATTCACTCAGAAGCTGTAAATCAAAACAGTGGTGTGCAGCAGGAGGGCATACGAGGGGCGTGACGAGGGCGTGACGAGGGCGTGCAAATGTTAGTCGGTGCATACCGACACTTCCCCCCCCCCCCTGTTCCCCTTACCCTTTCAGGCAAGTCGGGACAGTGTTTAAAGCTAGACATTAGTCTGCCATTCAGGTGATATAGGATGACAGCCAGACAATCAACATGAACATTCTTCTAAAATAATTAAGGAGGAAAGACTTGGCGGGGAGTGAGGGCTTATGGCAAAATTGGCAGCTATAACAAGGGGAGGGGGAGCTTTAAAAGTAAGAACAGACAAATAGTTTGACAAGGTAATAACAGACGAGGTAGTTCAGGGGGGTTCAGATGTTCCACTGGTGATGGATCATAACTCACAAATAAGACTTCAAAAGTCTGCCCTACAAACTGATGACCAGTGTCATCAGTTTGTAGGGCTACCTGACATTAGGGATGTTATTTACGCCCGTGGTGCATGGATTTAATCCAAATGTAATTTAAATGTCGACGTCGTGAGTGCATCCTGAGAAATACTCGCAGGAACATAAGAACACTTGAGTCGACCTACTTCAGCAAGAGATTTCATTTCTCACATCTGCCACTCCACAGGTAACAACATTATTCATTATCCTGCTTCTGATGAGGCCGCTGACAGTGACCCCCCTTTAATACAAGGAAAGAGGCGTAATTCAAACCAAACAGGAAAAGACATCGACACCCCCAACCAAGAAACCCAGTATTCCTCAGATATGCATCTGGTTTTGGACAAAGCCAGTCTTTGGTTTACAGTGAATTCATTGAAATATAAAAGACGGACGTGTCGGAGAGTGCAGAAGGTTTGATTTACAACTTTCTTACTTCTTAGTAATTTTAACATTTTCCAGATTTCACACGTTCAGTTCCAACATGTCATGAAGGATTTCAAAGGCTCAAACCTGATGAATACTTACTTTTTTACCCATGACACCTTCAGGTCCGACATCACCAAGTGGACCAGGTAAACCCTGAGTTGAAAACAAATATTGAAGGGTTATACATTGTAGATTATAAAGGATCAGAATCCACTGGAAACAGCTCAGTGAACAGTTCAAGAATATCTACAGAGGAGCACGTGTAGATTTCAACACAGGTTTTGTCTCTGACACGGCAAACAGAAACACATAGTGGAGGATTCAGGCTGGCAAATCAAATTTCAAGGGATTTTATTATGACAGAATCATAAATCAAACCTGAATTCCACGATTTCCTCTTGGGCCAACGGTACCTTCAGGACCCTAGAGAAGAATAGGTAATTAAAAAAGATTGCTTAAATTATCATCCATGATCACCAAAAACAAACGTTTAAATATATTACACAGAGGGGAACAGTAAATCTCTTCACAAAGGTCAGCTGTTGTAACAGAAAGAATTGTTCTTAAACTTGGATTCAAGCTCTGACAACATAGAAGGGGTACATACTCGATCTCCTTTAACTCCAGGTGTGCCACACTCCCCTCTCTCTCCCTGTGAGGGAATAGAAGCAGTTTAGTGAAGCTGCATTATGCATCATTTCAGACTTATAGTCACATTTCATGGCTTTACCATAATAACAAGTTTAGGAGGGAACCATTTATCTTGAAAAATGGGCTTCGTTATCCCAGAGACGAGCTGGTTTACAGAAACTAATCACTGGGATATGCGTCATTTAAATTCTCAACGAAACAAAAGTAACAAGAGAAACTTGCAGACAGGCTTGACATGAAACACAGATGAAGAAAGGAGCACAAAATGCAAGGATATTTCCGAAGTCTTTTCTCTGTATGGTCCTGCTTTCAAGGTAATTTATCAGGTCTGGAAAACATAATTCTCAGGTCTCACTAAAAGTTTCAGATTTTCCACAAGCGTGGGAACCTGATATTTTGACAAACCATGTGGTCATATTGAATCCATACATCACCTTCTCTCCTTTGTATCCTGATTTTCCCTGTGTGTACAAAACATTCATGTTAAGTCAGGAAATAAATAAACTAAACCGTCCAAAGAACACAGTCTATTCATCTACTGTAGTTGTGACACATGTTAAACATGACACAATAGTAAATGTTTTTATACTGTACTTGTGGATGTGGACTTAATAAATCTCAACTCACCTCAGCTCCTTCCCGGCCAGGAAGTCCACTGAGACCACTCTCACCCTAAGGGAATAAAGGGATTTTAGTTTGACTAAGAATTTACAACTTCTGATTTTTACCAGTAAAATCTTAAAATGGTAATATGACTGTCATGTGCAGTTTAACAGTAGGTAGCACCTTCTGTCCTTTTGACCCAGGGCTCCCATCTTCTCCTGGACGACCCTTCTTGCCCTGCAGAGAAAGTGAAAAGAGAAGTGTCATTAGGCAGAAAATAAGAACAGACTAATAAAGACTTGGCAACTGTGCTATCAACAGCGCTTTAAGAATAGAGCAAGATAGCATCTTATAGCTTTCAGGCATGTTTGATATCATCTGTATGAAGTATATAATCTGTTATGAAAAACAACACAGGAATAGGTATTTAGCAACCACAATTAAATCATTCGTCTCCACAACACAAACTAAACATTGCATACCAAAATGTTAAGGCTCATTTGCTAATTTGCTCTTTAGGGAGAAATCTAGCAACATCTGTAAGTAATCCATGAGCTCTAGTCTTCAAAAAGTAAATGAAGAGCTGATAAAGTAGTTAAATAAAACAAATGAAACTCATTACAAATGTGAAACCTACTCCTTTTAATCAACATCTATACATTAAGATGAGAAGATCAATGCAACACTCATAAATCCAATCTTTATTAAGCATAAGGCTACTGCCTTCCACGGATTAGCGTAGTCTAGAATAAATTGTGAGCAGTGGTTAAGAGGTACAGTAGCTTGGCTGGAGATAATTAAGAAAGCAAATAAGAGTCTGTAACATGCTAAAGGTTGGATTTTGATGCGATTTGTGAGATTTTGGGTGTCAGAAAACACATGTTTAAATGTGGACAGAGTCTGAGTAGCTGTTTCCTGTTTCTGCATCTCTAGCTGAGCTTAGCTAATTAGCTGCTAGCCTGTTATCTCTGATAGGGAGTCGTATCATTCTTCAAATAAAACTCGCAGCAAGAATAGAGATGGGTGAATGTCCCAAAATGTTAAATCATTTAAGTTTAGCAAAGATTTTCCATCCTCCAGGAGATACTTTAACATGTTCATTAGCTGTACATTAAGGTTTAGCTGCTCATTTATGGCTCATGTAATGAAGGCTAGCACAACGGTTTTCCTTCTAATTAAGTTCCTTAAATTCACTAATATGCAGTTTAAGAGCTATTTAATGCTTCACAGAAGACTCATTTTTGAAGTTCATCTTGGATAAAGGCCAGTGGGTCTGGAAGCAGATGAGTCAGAGGGGACTTTGAGTTGTCTGAATGTGTGCGAGAAGTCATAACCGACAACTGTCTGTCTGGCTCTTCTCTGTGTTTTCATGCATGTGTGTTGTCGACTGTGAAAATTCTTATCTTTCAAGTGCCTCCCTGCTTTCATGCCTGCATCTTCACATGCTGCTTCCTTCAGTTGCCGTGATGTGAAACAGCTTTTGTTTGGAGCATTAGGTCTAAGAGGGTAATCACTCTCTTCTCATCCTGTTAAAATACATCAAAGCAAAACCACTACGTCTAATTGTGGTTGACCTTCTCTGTGTAATGAGAGGCGTGTTCATATCACGACATGGCGGTGGCAGGCAAAACAGTGAAGCATGTCACATCTTATCCACATAGTAGAGTCCTCAGACAACACAATGTGGCTGGGATCTTTAGACAGACATGAATTTTCTGATTTCCCATGTAAATATGTGAAGCCTATAGGCCTGTTCCCAATAAACAAGAGGAATGTCAGGCATTTTTCTTTACTCGCACTGCTGCAGGGAAACAGAGCATCTCGAAACCACACGATTCACTAAAACCCACCAAAACCATGCAATTATGTAGCCTGTTAGCATCAAGGGTCTCTTTGTCAGCTGTTCTGTCCTCTACAGCACTTCAAAGCAGCCAGTTTAGGAGTAATTGTCTCAGAAGAAAAACGAGAGATTTGATCCTTTTGTATGTTGCAGAGGAAAGCCACAAAAGAACCCGAGTACTCAGTGTTATGTCAATGTAAAATACAAATATTGGAAGTAAATTATAAATAAATAATGTGAAATAAAAAAGTGATCCAACGGTTGGTGAAATAATTGCAAGTATAATAATAATTAAATAATTATAATAATTAAAAGTAACTTCACTTACTATAATGAAGGGCATTATTTTTCTTACCTTAATAACAGAGTTTATTTAAGTATCAATTTTTGTTTCATCATAGAGATATTAGTAAAATATGCAAATAAACTAATAAATGAACAGTCCTCACATTGAGGGCTAAAAGCTACATACCTTGAAAGTTAACAAGCTTTCTTAATTGTTAGCTTGGATTGTTATCAAACATCAAAAGTGATTGGATGTTGTTAGTAATGTTGGCTAGCTCCTGAAGACAAGGAGATATTAATGCCACCGTTTAAATTATGCATCAAAACTGTCATCAAGAAAAAGTTCAAGGTCAAATAACATATAGAAATAATAAGTAATTCATTTACTTTTCTTTAATAATTTGGAGCTATGGAGACCAAAACTGGGTAATACTTACAGCAGGGCCAATGGGTCCCCTCTCACCCTTGTCACACTCACACTTGCTCAGGGACAGAGGACACTTCAAACACAGGGAGAGAAGAGTTAGACAGGCCATACAGGGTCATAAAAAAATATGTGGAAAGGCCGCAGACAGGTCACTTACCCCTTCATCCGCCAGCACTGTCTGTGGAGCAAGAAACACAAAAATGTCAGGATGTTGTCAAATTTGCTCCATATGGTTCATTCATAACGCGCCAGCAGACATTTATGGAGAGAGATCTAAAGAAAAAAGCTTTTGCTGTGAGCCAAATTCAAACGCTGAGCTAAGCTTTAAATTCTGGACTCAAGGTTACATTGTAGGACAAAAGACATGAGCTGAAGAAACACCTGTGACTCAAACACCCAATTAAATATGTTCACTGCTGTCTGGGTTCAGTTTGCCAAATAGACATCAATCATCTCCACCTGATTCTTTGAGTGGACTCACATCCGCCATTTCAGCCTGTAACAGACACTCCTTGCCAGAGCCCCTAAATTCACCCCTCTGGTTTCCTTTCTCTTCAAAGCTCACCACATTCTCTACACAAGGGGGAATGGTCGAAATTCCACCCACATTTAACACAAACCACATGCACTGATCAGTAAAATCGCCTCGCATCCAAGAGATGTTTCCAAAGTAGAGGGGGACATTCTTAGATGGACAGGTCTAATGTTTGGACTTAAGATGAAAAGAATGCTGTCTTTTCATCTGAAGTCCAAACATTAGACCTTAGCTGAGAAAAAGACATGTTCTTATAAATACACTTATTTATTGAGGGATATGGCTAAATACTTAGCAGGCTAACAAGCAAGGCTTGGCTGTTATCTGGCTTGGATACATAATCGATATCGAAGTGAAGAAACAGTGTCAGACATGTTAGCAAGGCAATGTTAGCTAGTGACTGTCTTAATTTGGTCGTCACAGAGTCATATCTTTCTCTAAACACATTTCTAAATGACTGAGGAAGATGTAACTGGTACGTAGTTATTTATACAAGTTCACAATTTAACTTAGCTAGCTAGCACAAGTAAGTAAGTACGTAAGAAGGCTTAGTTAGTAAGAAAGTGAGTGTATAAGTCAGTCAGTAAGTATACTAAGTTAGTAAGTAAGTAAGTAATAAAGTAAGTAGGTAAGTAAGTTAGTAAGAAGCTAAGTGACTAGAAAGTAAGCTAGGTAGCTAGCTTGAACAGCCTTGTTTAGATAAATAAATGTAACGTGATGCTAGTTTCTATGTCTGTACTGTATTTGGTATAACAATAGCCAGATAGATAATGAAGAAAGACATTAGATGTTGTTGCTCTAGCTAGCTCTACATAAGGGGCAATGGTAAAACACAGACCACATGGACTGATCAATTAAAAGACTTGCTATGTCCTCAGGATGTTTCAAAAGTAGGGAGGGGTGTCTGAAGACAGTCCATCCTTTCTTAGAGGACAGGCCACTGCTTGGGACTTAAGATGAAAGACAGTTTCTCAGCTGAGACAAAGACCCATGCTTATGACATACAGATGCTGTACAATGCAACAAGATGAAAGCCTGGTAGTGGACTGGCTGCTGCTGAGCTCTTGCATGCAAGCAGAACACAGGCTGTCAGGTTCAATGCCCTGGGAGTCTTGGTGCAATTCTTTTTATGAAGTTTCACCTTATCATATTTGGATTTGTACCACCTGTGTCAACAGTAAGACTTAGTTTGAAGTTTGAGTTGCTGCTTAAATGATGTAGCGTGCATTGGAGGTTCCTTCTCTTGCTGCACCCGATTTTCCCACAAAGAAGTTTAATGCAGAGCATATGTTACAGAAAACAGCTCAGCTTTGTCTACAGGATGTTGCTGTGCAGCACATGTTCTAATTATCTCAGTGGAAATGTATCATCAGTTTATGGAAATAACACCAATCACTTGAGCCAAGATAAGCAGTCTGAAATAAAGACAAATTATGTCTCTGTTATCTTCCAACACATGCATGGCAAAGAAGACTTTCAGAGCTTCAAATTGTTCCATCGAAGTGTTGATTGAAGAGAGGTTGTCACAGTATGTTTCAATCTACAGTGATGATTTAGTTGATGAGAGAAGACCTGTTACTATGGCAGCAGATAGCAGGTAGCAAGTGTACTTCAGTCATGCCAAAAAAACAGAGGGGGGTTGAAGCAGTACAGCAGTAGGAAGTCATAGACGCTAACATTTAACTCAATCAGAAGATGGCTGTCGGCATAATGGCTTTTTAAGCTTCCACCTTTCAGAAATGACTGGCCTTGGGGAATAAGTAATTATGAAACATATATGCAATATCAATCATGTCCAGGAATGTTAGCACTACCAAAGTGATTCAATGGCATTAAATGAGAGGAATCTAGTCACACTTGATTCCATAATGTACATTTAACAATGATACTAAATGCATGCTAGCTAACATTGTCCACCTTAGGCTACTGGCCATACCAGAACAAATATGGCTTAAGCAGCAGAACCTTTGGAAGAGGGTCTTTTCACTTTATAAGCTTTTTCCAAATATCTTAAAAAGCTGCAAATGAACAGACTCAGTAATTCCATCACCTTCAACTCTGAATGCAATCTAAAACAAATCCATATAAGTTCCTTTTTACTTACTATTTCCTTAATGATTTTGTCCACAATGCTCCTGTCCTGCAGGTTGTGAAGGTAACGTGAGGCTGGGGAGTTAGCAATTAGCCGTAGCTGTGCGACGTTAGCAGGTTCATTGGCTTCAGGTGTGATTCCTATGGTGAAGAAACGGATGCCCTGGTTCTTAGCATCAGCCACAGCTGAAAATATGTCTGGGTTTCTAGGGTGAGAAATTCCGTCAAAGAGCAGAATGGCCACCTTGATGCTACTGGTTGGCGACTCCTCCAAGTAAATACGTGTGAGGTTGGTGATGGCGTAGGTGGTGTAAGTGCCATGGCCGATGTACACCATGGGAGCAATCCTGGCTTTGAATTCACCAGGACCTCTCCACTCTTTGAAGGTCTGCTCTGTGATGACATGGCTGCTGTACTGAAGCAGGGCGGCTCGTGAGCTGAGCCCCCGGCCAGTCTGCAGCCTCAGGCCCTGAAGCCGGTCCATCACGTCCATGGCAAAGCGCTTCTCCTGGGCATGGTTGTCTTTGGCGCTCTCTGAGCTGTCAATCAGAAAGGCTATCTCCACACCGCAATCTTCATCGATGAGTGCTTAAAAGGAAGAGATGTTGGCAATTGATTAACTAAGAGATTGTCAAAGAATAGTTAGACAGGACCTATACCAGTCTCACATCTGAATGCAAAAAACTGCAGCTTCCTCCTGGTGTCCTTAGAACAAATTTGCAAAAAGAAAATACCTTTGCCAACTGTCTGATGATTTTCATCTACAACACAGCTGCTATTAGTATGAATCCCAATCACAATATATGTTGTTTGTTGAAGGGTAAAGCTTAATCCAGTGGCAGGTGATCTTAACTTAGCATAAAGACTGGAAATATGGATTGAACAAAGGAGTTGTAAAATATCATAACTTTTGAGTTGAGAAATGTTTTGGTACATGTTCTGCTGAGAATTTCCTCTTAAAGCGGTGTTCATGCTAAGGTGGCCAAACCTAAGCTAAACTAACTCCTTATAACTAACTAACTAACTAACTATCTCCTTGTTCTTACCGGCTTATAGACGGTCCTTGTTGTCTGTTTGGCTAACTTTCTCCCATTGTAACATGTTTCTTGTAACAGTAAGCTAACCATCCTTTGGTTCTCTTATATTCTGCATAAAGACATAAGAGTGGTATCAACATTCTCACCCAACTCTCAACAAGAAACCAAAATCATTACACTTTGGCATTGCATCATTAGACAGTAGCTGTATTGGCTTCATTACAAACGACTAAGTTAACTGAAAAAGATGATTTTGGAGGGGGGGGGGATTATAATAAACCTTTGAGCATGATCAATTGGATCTTTATCAATGGCATAGGATTTACAGTATGATACCTTTTCAAGATAAGAGCAGTGAGTTTATAAATGTGACATATAATTTCAAAGAGGAAATAAAAGTAACTCTACTTTCTGCACCAACCTTCAGCCATAGAAGGAGGTCACAGATCTAATATAGGCTGGAGGATAAATCACATTAATCTTCACAGGAATATGTCACAGGGAGAATGTGCCTGGGGAAACAGGATTCTGAGCGAATAAAACATTTGGGTAACAGAGCACTGAATGCTCTCGCAGGAGATGGATGGCTCCAAGAAAGCTCCGAGATATGATCAATCCAAGTGGATTGCATCCTCCAGCGATGTCCCTGTTGAGTATCATGTTCTATTTTTTTTCCCTTAGCAGTACCAAAAATGAAACATGTGCCACCTGCACAAATTCCAACCACTTTTCAAGTATAAGTATCAGTGAGAAAAAAAAGCCTGCAAACACCTACCAGAAATATGAAAAAGAAAGACATGTTTAGACTTACATTTTCCATTTTTTGGTATGGAATTGGATGGAAATTCTTTGCTCTTCCTTTTTGTAGTCACCACCTCTTCTTCATAGTTTTCTTCATAGTCCTGTGCCAAAAGACCTTGAAGTCCCCAAAATAGCAGGATCCAGTGCAGTGAGGGGACCATGACTTCCCTGAGAAAGAACCAGAAGGAGATGAATTAAAAAAACAAAAACCTAGACACATCCTCAGATTTTAATACCCTCCATAAAAACTTGCAGACATTCAGAGAACAAGCTTTAACAAGCACTGAGTGCAAGACTCAGGCATCAAGCATGCATATAACTCACAATATTGTTGACTTAAGTCTCCAATGAGTTCTATTTTCAAAAGCTCTCCTTGAAGTAAAGAAACACAGGAAAAGGTGAAAAAAGGAAAATTAGAGATTCCTCATTCAAAGTAAGTTTAGCTCCATGTCTTGAGCATCAAGTTGGTGTCTTCTTCTGCTGGATCTTAGTTGAGTTTCTGCAGGTCAAGTAGACACCTTATAGTGACAGCAGCAGCAGCAGCAGCAGTGTGTTGCCAAAAGTTTAGACTTTATTCTGGCTCTCATTAGACCCAAGTTCAAGCCATTCAAAGTGTGCACCAGATGAAGGCAAGTCCAGCCCTTTTTAAAAACTCACTCACTCCCATTTAAGGGGGAGTGAGGGAGGGGAGGGTGGGCTGGCGAGACAGGGAATGAGAGGCTTTCCCCCCCTTTTTGAGATTGTTAGTTTTACTTATTTAGCAATGCTGTTTAAAACTGGAACAGAAGGAAGCCCAGGGATAAAGGCAATTTGTCCTTCTCATTAAAGAAACATTCATTGTGTTGGTGATGTGTTTGTTGTATGTTGTATGTTATTGCTGTGAAGTAGTAACACTCTTGTGCAAGATTTTAGCCTTTACTAGTAATCTGTTGTTGTAATATAGTTCTGTAGAGGCACTGGTTACATAATCTTGCTCGTAGGAAAATGGATTTTGTCTATTTGCTATGCGTTTACAGGAAATGTACTCAGACTGTAAAAAGGGTAATGAACATAATTTTAAAAGTTTACAGAGTTTCATTGGTACCAAGACAAATATTTTTAAGAGGGTTTACATCTGCTTGGGGCTTGGACTTCAGTAAAATCCTGTCTTAAACTTTGTCATGTTTCAATTACATGTTGGGATACATGTTTGGGCTATCTCTTAAGAGCCATTTAGCACAAACGTAATGTTACAAACATGTAAGCTAATACTTGCAGATATCTGTCAATTGTATACTATTTACACATTAAAGAACAATTCAACATTTGTCCACATTAATATATGTAGTATTATTAGCTGTTAAAAGCTTGCCGTGCTAACTAGCTAGTAGCTAACTTTGTTTGTCTTCTGTGCTGGGCAGGCTGTTTACATTGGGTTTGAGGTTTTCAAAATTACTTTTGGTCCTTTAATCTCTTGTTGATTGAAAACCATGAATTATATCTGCTTAAAAGCACATTCTATTTATGTTTTCTTTAATTGTGCTGTCACAAACCGCGCCCTCGAAATACTCCAGAAAGCTGGAAAGTCTGAAGAGGTGATTTATACCTTAAGGCAACACACCTTGCAGGAACAGCATACCATGATTCACCTATAAAAAACACCCACAGCAGCTGTTTGTCTTTGTCTTTATCTTGGCATGATTAACTGTAAATATACTTCATATATATTGTATTCTTTTCTGAATGAAGCTTTGTCTACGGTCAGATTTTAAAAATGGGTAGCCTACGATTTAAGAAATATGTTAATGTGCTAATCTGCATTCAAAGTTTAATTCTTTTTCTTGAAGACAAGAAGAAGTCTTGTTTCTGGATGATTTCTCTTCAAAGCCGGATGTAAAATGGTTATATCAGTTCATGAATTATTTAAATCAGGTGCCTGTCCTTTTCAACACCAAATTAAAGTCTCATAACTCTAATGTTATTATAATTCCTGTGTAGTCCTGGATCAGAGAAGTCTTACCATCCCATGAGATTGTCTGCAAGAATAAAAGCTTGAACAGGCATCACATAACTCTGCTACAGGGATGACGGCGTGTGTTTTTATTGCCTACTGTACCACTGAAAGCAAGGAAAGGTGAGCTGTCACTCAAGAATGCATCTCCTTGAAAGATGGACCTCCTCAACTCTGGTTCGTGTGGAGAGCTGGTTTAGCAGAGCAAGGATTTATGGGAAATATTGTTGTCAGATTAAAATTGTGTCTGTTTGGAACTTGAGTAAAAAGCGATACAGTTTAGGGAGACTTGTTATAATTTTTTATGAATGAAACCAACATTTATAGCTTAGAGACTTGTTGTGTTGCATACCACACAAAAATGACAAAACCAGGACACAGCATTGTCCTGAATATAAATATAGAATTCTTCAAAATCAAAAATCTGTGAATTTCCAGTCATGAAAAGCACACCAGCAGCTTTAAATCTAAATGCCTGTTGTGTCGATTTTCTAAAAAAGCATTTGAGTCTGATGTTAAGTTTTCACTCCTGATTCCTCTCTCAGCAGGAATTCTGTTCTAATGAGCGTACATGTTCACTTTGAAGCATTTTAAGTTTGCCAGATACGGACCCCACAGTGTGTGTAAACTACCTAGCAATTGGGTGACAACCATTCAAGGAGTACATGGGAATAAACACATAAAAATGGCCCAATCTAAAGAGCACAGTGACGCCCTGATTAGATGCTCACACCAGTAAAGGGCATGGCATTTTTAATGAAATACCACATTATAGAAGTCTAATAAGCAGCTAGTCTTCCTTGGAAAAAGGTGTGTGGCATGAAGAGAGGATGCAAAACAAAACAAGAGTGAGTCTTTCTTTTATGACATCGGGGAAGCCACCACTTACCTCTTCCATATACATGGCCCCTCCAGGTATCTTTCCGGTGACATTTCCTTTAACCACAGCTCTTAAAAGATGTTGCATGTTGCCTAAAACATATAGTTACAGCACATAGTAAAACACCACTGACAACACTGTCTGTTTATTTCCAGTATGTGAATAAATCACATGTAAGACTTTAAAATAGGTATGTCCCAACAAGTGTAAAACTCTACTTATCACCAGTGTATTGGATTGGATAACTTAATTCCTACAGTTTGAGCTCAGGAGAACTTGTTGCTAGGGTTAGCATGCTAATGGCAATTTCCAACATACTGTTGTTTAGCAGTTAAAATATTCATGATAAACTTACGCACTAAATTAACTGTTTTTATTGTATAATGTGCTACCATGCTTACCACAAATGTTATATTTGAGGGAAGGAGTTGTCAGTCTATGTTATGCTAGTCTGCCTACCGGCTTTACTTTGTACATTACTGTTCTGCAAACAAACCCAAAGTGCTTGAGTATACAACTCCATATCATAAAGTCTAAGTGATGGAAGAAGAGATTAATCATCTTAGCTTAGTGTGTTAGCAAGGCGCAGATCCAGGGTTTGGGCCTTTGTTAATTAAATTAACTATTGGGTCTTTGCATTAAAATGTGGCACATATGTTCAGTACCTAACATTTCCCAAGTACTGTTCAGCCCAAGTACATCAGTAGCTATTAAATCTCAGTATTGGGCCAATACAAATGATAACCTGGTTATGGCATAATGACACAGAAAATTGAAGGGATCATTTAAGATGTTACAATCTATCCCGAGGGAAAATTGATGTGCGAATTTTATGGCACATCTCATTTCCTCCAGGCACCATTACACAAAAACATTTCAAGCAGTCAATGACATGTTTTTCCAAAGATATGTCAGTCTGAATCAAAGTGTTTGACTTGCTGAATAGACCAACATAGCCAAAAGCGATGCTTAGAAAAAAGTATGAACTAACACAACGTCACCTGTAGCGCTGTAGGCAGCTATCTGTTTTAATTAACAACCAGGAGCACTATCTCATTACCTCTGAGGTTTCTGATGAAAAATCTTGAATTGTAGATTTTTTTCCTCCTCACAAGTCCTCACAAGTACTGCAGGGAACATGTCTGCGGAGGGTCAATGGTCATCTGCTGTCAAACTGTCCGAGGTATGACGAGGGGGGGGGGCTTTGCAAACCTGACAGAGACAGTACACAGGTCAGGTGTGGCAGTTTGTGATAGGAAACATTTGCAGGAGCTTGAATAAAGGTTATTGTCATGCAATCAAAGATTCCACAGATCAAGCTCATGTGGGTCGTCAAACTTCTCTAAAAACAGATGAAGCGGAGCTGTTTAAAGGGGTAGACAGACACATTGGCATCTGCTGCATCTGATCCTGTCGAGGAACATGTCCGTTCTTGCATCACAATGTGGTGAACTCATTTGGCTCGATTGCTGTAGTTACAGTTACTGCTACACAAGCACAATTTTTTCTGCAGAGCAACATGGAAACTTTATTTGGGAATCATTGCCAAATGATCTCACTATTGCCCCTTAAAGTGAAAGGCAACTTATATATTGCCTTTCTTATAGGCACTTAGAGCAACTTATAGGCAAATAATATTCAATAGAGTTTTGTCATTAGGTTTCTTTCTTAGGTGAGGACAATCAGGGGTCAACTCCTGCATGTACTTGTAATAATCCAACAACAAACCACAAAAGCCTGGCAACACAAAGTATCCTCAGCCATCACTCGTCAGGTGTTACTTAAGGGCATGCACAGGATGCTTAATTCAAATATGTGCTGTTTTCACAGACAAATACAGACTAGTAGAGATACAAATATGCCTGCCGAGTAAGATACTCATCTGTGGTTAGGAGGAGGTTCAGTCACTTATAGTACTATCCAATTACATCTGAAAGGAATACCAAGGTTGTATCTGATATCTTGCAAACATTAAAAGTAACCTCACTTCTGATTGATATCAAACATAGTGGATATACTCTTTGAGGTGTTTCAAAAAGTATGAGCAAACAGCATGCTCATTTCTCACACATTTGCTGTTCACGAGTTTCATGGTTAACTCTTTGGAAAAATTAAACTGTACAAAAAAAACATAAATCCCAAGGCAAATTTGACTAGAATGACAAACACTGAATGTTTAAAAAACATAAAGACACAAAGTTCTACCAGAGAGCACAGAACAGATTCTGTTTTATGTCATGTAGGTGGATGATTTGACTCTTCTTAATGAATAACAACATTTTTCAAACACGTATGCCTTAAAACACTTGCACAAACCCACTCACTACACCGGTCTCTTTTAGTACACTAGCACCCTCTAGTGGAGATATGATGGAATCACTATTTTAGAATCAATGCACCAGAGAGCTGTGACTGAAAATCAATCAATTTTAAATCATACTGTTAACTAAATGCACTCTCTGTTACAATTATTAATACAGTGGGTTTAAGTGTTTAAGACCTGTGATGCCCCTGCTATGATCTGTCCAAATATCTGCAATATAAAGATATATTTCATGTTTTCCATCTGTGAACATTGCCTTAATATCAACAGTATACTGAGTATTTTGAATATACTTCCTTTTGTTACATTGTTAAAACACGACAGAATAATAGTGCTTAAATATGTACAGCGTATGGATTATAATGTCAATATATTGTTATTTATAAACATTTGGAATTACGGTTGCTTTAAATTGAACTTGTGGTGGTTTATAGACTAGTTTAATTGACACACTGATTAATCAGTTTTAATAATAATAATAATAAACTAATATCATGTTTTGAAAAATTGCCTTTAGAAAATTTTCATTTTCCTGATAATAATACTCAACCTGTATTTAAAATGTAGTACTCACACATGTGGTGACATTACTTTAACCTTACATAAAGAACTTGAATTATTTAACAGAAAAACTCAAAGAAAAATACATTTATTTTACTAATCATCATCATTCAGTTGTTTCTTTAAAGTTTAAACACACTTACAATCCTAAATTGCACTTTTGACTACAGATGTGACTGTACTCATATATTGCATCATTCTAATATCATAAAAGCAGTGGTGCTTATTGACTCTTAGTGCATGCTTAGCTGGTGTCTATGTAGTGTAATACAATTGCATTTGCAGTGGCCAGTGTAGACAAATCTGGATCTTGAGTTACAGCGGTAACACCAGACTGGACTAAATATATGATTACAGTACTTGAAATGATAAGAATGATCAATGTACTGCATTGCACAAAAACATTGGGATAGTGGATCCAGCAAGGGTCAGTATGGGTCACAACATTGTACTGGGTCAAATAAACCAATTTTTGTGTTGGGGCTATACTGACCCACACTTGGTCAGTTTTAATCAAAGTTTTTGGACTGGAGTGGTAACACATCATACAATTGAACACACTTTCTCAAGTGTGTACATACAGTGATCCACTATACTGTGTGGCTGCCACTGTCACCAGCCGAGCTGCTAAGTTGGTGCAGAGTCCTCCAGCTTTTGGAAAGGCCATGTAACTAGCAACTGTGGGCATTTCAGCAATTTCCATTGACCTAGGGCACTCTTAAGTGACCCAACCAAAATAGGGGACAAATGTCAGGGTGGCGCTTGAAAACTTCACTCCCATTTACCCGGAACATTGTGTACAAATGTCAAAGTTTCACCATTTACATACCTATGCCCATGTCGTTCTACGTTAATTCAACCACGCATTTAACTAGTAAGTTAATCTATGATATACCCTTTTGTCTGGCGTGTCATTCAGAAGTTACTTTAGCAGTCAGACAGGCCTTCTCTGGAGGGCAGAATCATGGCAGAATGTCAGCTGGTCCTGGACGCGCTTAACATCCGCGCATGCTCAGAAGTGGCGTTTTACGTCTAGCGCATGCGCAGTTGGGCCCACCGGTGATACATTATAAAGCCGAAAGTTCCTCCGTCTCTTTCCACCTTCAGCCATTTTGACAATGTTGGGAGCTGTGGGACGCTGCTGCACCGGTGCTCTGCAGGCACTCAAGCCTGGGGTCCAGCCCCTCAAGGCCCTTGCTGGATCTCCAGCCGTTCTTTCACGTAAGTCCTGCATGCAGGGTGCTTTTTAACGAAATCAAAACGACTAAATGCGCTTGTCAGAGAAGGGCAGGGACATGCTAGTGTTAGCTTCTGCTAGCAACACGCTGGCTGCGCTCCTGCCGATGGCGCAGCAGGCCATAACAGAAAAATAAGAAAATTGTAACATTTTGAGCTTTATTAGAATCTCGTACTGGTACACATTTATATTTGCGTCTTTATTTAAAGGTGTCACAAAGCGGAAAATGGCTGTGCGGTGTTATTCTTGTGCTAGCAGTAATGACCTTTGAGAAATGACATGAGGTTGTGCAGAGGCTAACTTAGCATTACAAGCAGTGGTAGTTTCAGCAAGGTCTAGTTAGCATATTGGCAATCTTGATCTTCAACTGCATGTTTTATCAACAGACGCGTTAAGATCCACTCGAAATTTGAAGATTGTGATGCACAACAAACTAATTTGCCATTGAATGTCCCGTCTGCAGAACAGCAACAGAAGCTACATTAGCAGCTTTAGCTTTACTTTTCATTCATCTGTCAGTGTCTTCACCTAAACTTCATACAGTCAAGGTAATGGCGAATACGAGTTTTTACTGACGACAATCCGTCTCTTAATAATAATAATACTTAATAATCCTGTTGTGTAATTTAAGCTTGATTTCTAAGATATTCGTAGTTTGACCCATAACTGTGTCTTGACATTGAGGCGGACATTGTTGTCTGACTGCTTTATCCGGTACTGTTCAGCAAGTACTGTGGTATATAACACACAGATGAATACCTATATGGGATGTCAAGGTCATGCCTGTAGCCCCCCTATGTATGACACTGAGCTAAATGCATACTCTTGTTGTCTTTACAGGCAGAGACTATGTCGCACCTGCTGCGGCTGCTGCCATCGCCAATGGACGCATTGTGGCTGTCATCGGTGCCGTCGTGGACGTCCAGTTCGATGAAGGCCTCCCTCCCATCCTCAACGCCCTGGAAGTGGCTGGTCGCGAGTCCAGGCTAGTCCTGGAGGTCGCACAGCATCTCGGTAAGCAGCTGGAACAGATAAACACAGAGGATATCTTGGGTGAATTTGCCAGTAAATGAGAATGTTGTCTTCAGGGGAGAGCACAGTGCGTACCATTGCTATGGATGGTACCGAGGGTCTGGTCCGCGGACAGAAAGTCATCGACACCGGTGCCCCCATCAGAATCCCAGTCGGTCCCGAGACACTGGGCAGGATTATGAATGTCATCGGCGAGCCCATTGATGAGAGGGGTCCCATCTCTACCAAGCAGTGAGTTATCCATGGAAAATAAGACTCTGCAGATTCTTGCAGTGATTTAAATTAATAACTACATGTGACCATAATAAAAAGGTGCTAAGGAGAAAAAAACAGCTTCATAAAATTTTAAATAGCTTTGTTCGATTAGAAATAATTAAACGGTTCCTTCTCTTGCAGGACTGCACCCATCCACGCTGAGGCCCCTGAGTTCACTGACATGAGTGTGGAGCAGGAGATTCTGGTAACTGGCATCAAGGTTGTGGATCTGCTGGCCCCCTACGCCAAGGGAGGAAAGATCGGTATGAGCTTGAGCATATTAATTCACAGGCTGGATTGATGAGGCTTCAGTCTAAAACTAACCATACATTTCTTATGCTCAGGTCTGTTCGGTGGTGCTGGTGTGGGCAAGACTGTGTTGATCATGGAGCTGATTAACAACGTGGCCAAGGCCCATGGTGGTTACTCTGTGTTTGCCGGTGTGGGAGAGCGTACCCGTGAGGGAAACGACTTGTACCATGAAATGATTGAGTCTGGTGTCATCAACCTGAAGGACACCACCTCCAAGGTCAGGATGTTTTCAAGCATCCTCAAGGAAGTTGTAATTGTTGCACACTGGAAACAAATGTGACATGTTTACCTTTTGGGGCCCTGCTAGGTGGCGCTGGTGTATGGACAGATGAACGAGCCCCCTGGTGCTCGTGCCAGAGTGGCTCTGACCGGACTGACCGTGGCAGAGTACTTCCGTGACCAGGAGGGTCAGGATGTGCTGCTCTTCATCGACAACATCTTCCGCTTCACACAGGCTGGCTCTGAGGTCGGTAAAACATCAGACATGTCCGTCAATTTAAACTCGGGTGTCGCCTAAAATGTTTGATAGTAACCTATCTCTTCTCTTACTTTCTTAGGTGTCTGCCCTTCTGGGTCGTATCCCCTCTGCTGTGGGTTACCAGCCCACTCTGGCCACTGACATGGGTACCATGCAGGAGAGAATCACCACCACAAAGAAGGGTTCAATCACATCTGTGCAGGTAAACAAAGCTGGATTGTTTGATTAAAAGCTTTAAGTGTTTGATGTGGGGAATTAAACTATCTGGATTATTTTCTCCACTAGGCCATCTATGTGCCCGCTGACGATTTGACTGACCCTGCCCCCGCCACCACCTTCGCTCACTTGGACGCCACCACTGTGTTGTCCCGTGCTATTGCTGAGTTGGGAATCTACCCTGCTGTCGACCCTCTTGACTCCACCTCCCGTATCATGGACCCCAACATTGTCGGAGCAGAGCACTACGATGTTGCCCGTGGTGTGCAGAAAATCCTTCAGGTTTGAGACTTTGTCATTCTTACTTTTTTTTTTTTTTTTTTTTTTTAAACTTGCTTTTTATTTTTCAGTAGGTCTGACCTGTTATCTTCCTCCTTCTATAGGACTACAAATCCCTGCAGGATATCATTGCCATCCTGGGTATGGATGAGTTGTCTGAGGAGGACAAACTGACCGTGGCCCGTGCCCGTAAGATCCAGCGTTTCCTGTCTCAACCCTTCCAGGTGGCTGAGGTCTTCACTGGCCATATGGGCAAGCTGGTACCCCTCAAGGAGACCATCAAGGGCTTCCAGAGCATCCTGGGTGGTAAGTTTATCAAAATTCAGTCCATCAATTTTCTCTTTCCTCTCCCCATGTTTTGTCCCCTTAATGCTAATGTTGCCTCTTGTACCTGTTTTCCCTGTAGGCGAGTACGACCCTCTCCCCGAGCAGGCCTTCTACATGGTCGGTCCCATCGAGGAAGTCGTCCAGAAGGCTGAGAAGCTGGCTGAGGAGCACTCTAGCTAAACAATCTTTAACTTTTGTGGGGGGAAAAGAGGTGAAAACAGAAGGAAAAGGGGTTCTGTGGTTAGGAGCACTTGGTTTGTAAAACATGTCAAAAAAAATTCAAATGTACCTGTCTCGTCATCCTGAAAGAAAGTTCTATTTAATGTTTCCAATGTAAGATGGAATAAAATACTGTCTTTACACAAACAGCTCGTCAACTGTATATTTCCTATCAGCTTTGATAGTTTCAGAGTAGTTCCTGGTGGATGTTTTCATGAAATGGCTGTCTTCATATACACTGACCACAAGATGGCAATGTTGAGCCGTATGAATTGTGTTGCAGCTTCTCACATACTGAAATAAAACAGTGGACAAACATTTGGATGAGTGTTTGTTTCGACTTTTCATAAAATTAAAGATTAAAGAAATGTGATACTACTAGTGAACATGTAGCTTTTATAGTCAGTGCTGTGTGTGCACAGTGAGAAACAAGCAGTGGTTTAGGATTTAATGCTCCATACTTGCGAACAGAGGGTGCCAAGATTAAGTAATCCTTTCTGGACTTTGAATTTAGAACAAACTACTTTCCAAATGTATCCTACCTGATGGCTTTCATCCAATCTGATAACAACTAGACCCTGAATGTTATCTAGGTTAGAGGACGCTGACCTGAGGGTTGTTGCATCAATTTAAAGGGCCAGAGGATGTTTAATAAGGGGGGGTGGGTGGGAATAATAAAATGTGTGTTACTTAAGCTGAATGGAGTTAAATCAAATCCCTTTTTATATACAGTTTCAGTGAAAGCCAGCAGAGACAGCAATCATAAACACTTCCAGCATCCAGATCTACAATAAGATAAAACTTTTCGATTATGTTGCTTTGCATTAAGATGAACAACCAATGAGATGTCATGAGGAAACAATATCTTGTTTTTTAATCCCTAAATTGTTTGTTTGGCACCAGTGTTTAAGTGATATAACAGGTCTGTCTCTGCTGTTTTCCAATTCCACAAAGGGAATCACTGAAATCAGCAGCCTCGCTCAATATCCCTTTGTGATAACGTTTGTATGAAGTAGCTTTGATTTGCCCTTTAACCTTTCAAACACACCTGTCCTCAAGGCCAAGAACAGAGTCTTTAGATAAGATAACTTCAAAAATGGCCCCAATTGACCTTGTGTTAGAAAATCAGGTCTGTAGATAATAGAAGTGATATAAACAAACAGATAAAGCAGTTCTTCAAATGAACCGTTTATAGTGTGTTTTTTTTAATGTTGGTAACAAAAAGTGCACAGACATAAAGCTTTGGTTGTGAATGACATATTACTGGATTGTTTAAACAGCATACAAATGTGCACACATCACTTAAAAAAACAACTTCATTGTTTTGGCTTGGCAATAGGAATAGCCTCTTTGCCCATGATGTAATCGCTGACACAGCTTGGCATGTATGAGAGCGGCAGCCAGAACAGCTTGGCGTCCCAGCCTGGAGAGTAACGGGTACGGGGCTGGACAGCGGCTACAGCGTGCTCCATGCAGTTCACCACCTTCATCAGGTCTCCATCACTGATCTTACTGACTTTGTCTGCTATTACGTCTAAAGCTAGGAGATAAAAAAAAAAACAGTGGAATAAATGGAAAATTATAATGAATGAAGTGAAATCAGACACAAAAATGGAGAAAAAGAACACAATCTAAACTTACCCTTCTGCAGATATTCAGTGCCGTAGTCATCTCTGACCTCCTGGGGCATTCTCTCCCAGAGGGTTTTG